ATATTGATCTTCTTGCACAATCATGATACAAACAAGCCACCATATTGATCTTCTTGCACAATCATGATACAAACAAGCCACCATATTGATCTTCTTGCACAATCATGATACAAACAAGCCACCATATTGATCTTCTTGCACAATCATGATACAAACAAGCCACCATATTGATCTTCTTGCACAATCATGATACAAACAAGCCACCATATTGATCTTCTTGCACAATCATGATACAAACAAGCCACCATATTGATCTTCTGATCAGGACAACACTTTCATGCTATACTTACGTAATAATCAAGATTCAGTGGCACTGATCGAAAACGTTTTTCTTAAATATACGTTTTCAAGAATCTGGCCATTTTAAGATTTCGGACTCCTAAACAACACAAGATCGGGACTATCTCGGGATCATTTCAATCGCGTTTCTTGACAAGTTGATAATGCGTTGTTTGTTATATATCATAATTGTGAAAGATGATATGAACTTCCCGCCAAACTGAACTTCTAATGAAGAAGGAAACTAGAACGCAATGATTTCCATCAGTTCCAGATGACACCGTACTGTTGGAATTGGTTCCTGTCATACATTGTGCAAATGCTTTTTACTTCAAAACTGGTCAAATATGTGACCTTTGACCTTTACGGATGACCATAGATATCTACTTGGGATATCAAACTTGATACTGTGATATGAACATGAACTAAACTTACAAGAACGCTCATGAGATATCTTGTCTACATATTCAGTGATGCGATGTTGAAAGAAACACACACGTTTTCTATACAAGCTTTGTACAAAAAGACAAAGTGATTACAATATACACCTGTTCAGTGGAAGGGGAGTGGGAGGGGAGATGGGAGAGTTATCAAAAAAGCTTTATTGCATCCTTTCCCTAATATCCCCACTCACCAATTTTTAGCTCAAAGACACCGGTGGAGAATTGCAGGAATGTCTTCTACACGATATAGTCAGTACGTGTCTTATCTACCATCACACTCAATGTCTTCTACACGATATAGTCTGTACATGTCTTATCTACCATCACAGTCAATGTCTTCTACACGATATAGTCTATACATGTATTATCTACCATCACAGTCAATGTCTTCTACACGATATAGTCTGTACATGTCTTATCTACCATCACAGTCAATGTCTTATCTACCATGACATTCAATGTCTTCTACACGTCTTATCTACCATCACAGTCAATGTCTTATCTACCATCACAGTCAATGTCTTCTACACGATGTACATGTCTTATCTACCATCACACTCAATGTCTTCTACACGATATACATGTCTTATCTACCATCACAGTCAATGTCTTCTACACGATATAGTCTGTACATGTCTTATCTACCATCACAGTCAATGTCTTCTACACAATATAGATGGTACATGTCATCACAGTCAATCTAGTCGGTACATCACAGTCAATGTCTTATCTACCATCACAGTCAATGTCTTCTACACGATGTACATGTCTTATCTACCATCACACTCAATGTCTTCTACACCATGTACATGTCTTATCTACCATCACAGTCAATGTCTTATCTACCATCACAGTCAATGTCTTCTACACAGTCTGTACATGTCTTATCTACCATGACATTCAATGTCTTCTACATGATATAGTCTGTACATGTCTGTACATGTCTTATCTACCATGACATTCAATGTCTTCTACACGATATAGTCTGTACATGTCTTATCTACCATCACAGTCAATGTCTTCTACACGATGTACATGTCTTATCTACCATCACAGTCAATGTCTTCTACAAGATGTACATGTCTTATCAACCATCACAGTCAATGTCTTATCTACCATCACAGTCAATGTCTTCTACACGATGTACATGTCTTATCAACCATCACAGTCAATGTCTTCTACACGATGTACATGTCTTATCTACCATCACAGTCAATGTCTTCTACAAGATGTACATGTCTTATCAACCATCACAATCAATGTCTTCTACTACACTATATAATCGGTACATGTCTTATCTACCATCACAGTCAATGTCTTATCTACCATCACAGTCAATGTCTTCTACACGATGTACATGTCTTATCTACCATCACAGTCAATGTCTTCTACACGATGTACATGTCTTATCTACCATCACAGTCAATGTCTTCTACACGATATACATGTCTTATCTACCATCACAGTCAATGTCTTCTACACGATGTACATGTCTTATCTACCATCACAGTCAATGTCTTCTACACGATATAGTCGGTACATGTCTTATCTACCATCACAGTCAATGTCTTCTACAAGATGTACATGTCTTATCTACCATCACAGTCGGTACATGTCTTATCTACCATCACAGTCTAATGTCTTCTACACGATATATGTACATGTCTTATCTACCATCACAGTCAATGTCTTATCTACCATCACAGTCAATGTCTTATCTACCATCACAGTCAATGTCTTCTACACGATATAGTCGGTACATGTCTTATCTACCATCACAGTCAATGTCTTCTACAAGATGTACATGTCTTATCAACCATCACAGTCAATGTCTTCTACACGATGTACATGTCTTATCTACCATCACAGTCAATGTCTTATCTACCATGACATTCAATGTCTTCTACACGATATAGTCTGTACATGTCTTATCTACCATCACAGTCAATGTCTTATCTACCATCACAGTCAATGTCTTATCTACCATCACAGTCAATGTCTTCTACACGATATAGTCGGTACATGTCTTATCTACCATCACAGTCAATGTCTTCTACACAATGTCTTATCTACCATCACAGTCAATGTCTTATCAACCATCACAGTCAATGTCTTATCTACCATCACAGTCAATGTCTTATCTACCATCACAGTCAATGTCTTATCTACCATCACAGTCAATGTCTTCTACATGATATAGTCGGTACATGTCTTATCTATCATCACAGTCAATGTCTTCTACACGATATAGTCGGTACATGTCTTATCTACCATCACAGTCAATGTCTTCTACAAGATGTACATGTCTTATCAACCATCACAGTCAATGTCTTCTACACGATGTACATGTCTTATCTACCATCACAGTCAATGTCTTCTACACGATATAGTCGGTACATGTCTTATCTACCATCACAGTCAATGTCTTATCTACCATCACAGTCAATGTCTTATCTACCATCACAGTCAATGTCTTCTACACGATATAGTCGGTACATGTCTTATCTACCATCACAGTCAATGTCTTATCTACCATCACAGTCAATGTCTTATCTACCATCACAGTCAATGTCCTCTACACGATGTACATGTCTTATCTACCATCACAGTCAATGTCTTCTTACTATATAGTCGGTACATGTCTTATTTACCATCACAATCAATGTCTTCTACACGATATAGTCGGTACATGTCTTATCTACCATCACAGTCAATGTCTTCTACACAATATAGATGGTACATGTCTTATCTACCATCACAATCAATGTCTTATCTACCATCACAGTCAATGTCTTCTACACGATATAGTCGGTACATGTCTTATCTACCATCACAGTCAATGTCTTCTACACGATATAGTCGGTACATGTCTTATCTACCATCACAGTCAATGTTTTATCTACCATCACAGTCAATGTCTTCTACACGATATAGTCGGTACATGTCTTATCTATCATCACAGTCAATGTCTTATCTACCATCACAGTCAATGTCTTCTACACGATATAGACGGTACATGTCTTATCTACCATCACAATCAATGTCTTCTACACTATATAGTCGGTACATGTCTTATCTACCATCACAGTCAATGTCTTATCTACCATCACAGTCAATGTCTTCTACACAATATAGTCTGTACATGTCTTATCTACCAATTATCAATGAAACTGATGAACGCTCCCCAAAAAAGATTAGACACAAAAAATGTTATCAAAGGGCCATAAATCTGTAGTTAGGAGATTGCAGGCCCTGAATGATGTATACTGCACATTCTCTTAATAAATTCAATGTATACACTAAGTTACATGTTCCTCGTTTCCATGCAAGCGGATAATGGAACTTGGTGTATACATTGATCATACGAAGACAATGTGCACAGTACAAATGTTAGGCTCCACAACCCCTTAATTACAGTTATTGCCCTTTGTTAAAGTTTCATGTCCAGAGCATTACTTTGCCTGTGATGTATACGTAAGTCATTCAAAAGCATGGTGCAGTTAAGCAAAGTCTAGGCATATGTATAGAGTTATTGCCCTTTGTTAAGATTTTGTGTCTTGAGCATAGCATTTAATTATATGTATAACCCAAGTGTCATAATCCTTGCTTAACTGCGGCAAAAATTGTGTTCCAGATATGAAAGGATGAAAGGACGAACACACATGGTGTCAACTTCATGCTCCCTCGCAAATATTTTGGGTGCATAAAAAAACTGTGTGGATTCAAAGGAAAAGTTGAAGCCAAACAGGTGACAGACAATAGATGCTGCACCACAGAATAAGTCACTAAGCACTTTTAGTCTGACAAAAAAGTCCTTGTTATGACAGTACATGTACGTTTATCTGTTGCTTTAAACTTAAGGACCAAAGTAAACTTTCCTAAATTGTGTTTTATGACATTTTTATGTTTGAATTATTCGTTGCACAAAATGTTACATTTGAGTTATGAATTTTACCAGGAAAATAATCGACAAAAGGGGGTCATATCAAACACTTACCTTTAATTTGAATTTGAAAATGAGTTAAAATAAGACAATATCTCTTTACTTCTGATGGTATTTCAAATTTGATGAAATTAAAAAACTATTAATCCTATAAAAAGAAATTTGTGGAAAGGTTTATTAAAAAAAAAAGAGAAATGTATTTGCATAATGACACTTGTTAATTTCTCAATGAACAATCATAAAACCACAAAGTTCAAAGTTCAAAGTTCAAAGTTTACATTGAACACTCAGTAAAACTTGTAATAGATCTGAAATGAATAGTTTCAACTAGGGACTATATTAAAAAATCATTCATTCTTTATTGAAAGGACATCTTTATGAAAAGACAGAATATCCTTCAACTGACAGGCAAGGACGCATCATCAATTCTTTTTCTTCTGACTGTATATGTGTTCTGTGAATGGCCTGTAAACAGAAAATAACGTGTTTGTTTTCTATCCTTTAAAATTTCTAAGTCAACATTTGTTTCATACAAGAGGCATAATGGGCCTTATTTGTTAATCTCTTCTGTAGTTAACATTAAGAATTAGTAAGTCATGTGAATTTCCACAAACATGAAAACTTATTGCCCACACAAACTCCTGCACAAATATCTTGAACCAAGGCCTATTGGTTATTGAAAAGAACACTTTTCCTTTATCATTTCTCTGTCTTTAAAGTACTGGAATTATAAAGTTAAAACATAAAACAGTTTACCATAAGTTTTAAACTATTGTGCAAGAATCTGATATTCAATGTCATCATCAAATGAAGTAGGTATAAGGGTTGAACCAAACTGTCTCTCTCAGAAGGGAGAGCAAGTGAATTTGAGCTCAAGCTTGACAGCATACAAAATTCATATCAATGTTTTCCTGGCACCAAGGGTCTAAGAACCGACAAGAAAATCTTCTGAGCAGATCACTTACCCTTCAAACATTAAAGCAATCCTGTACACTATAGCTACTATCATGGATACAAATATACCCGTCTGACTGGCCTTCCTGAAAAATTACAAGAATCAACTTTTACTAACAACGTCAACATTGAAAGTATTCCTGATATAATAAATATTGACATTATATCAGGACTTATCATGCATACCTGACACATCTCTGAAATTTGAGAGATATTCATTCAGTTCTTCTTCAGAAAGAGCAATCTTTACTTGGCAAAATCCAAGATGGCTGCCTTTCCACCACTTTGTTTTTCTTATCAGAATCAAAATCAAATTCGCACAACTCGGGACTAAAGGAAACCTACAGATGAAGTTTGAGAAAGATCTATACAGTAGTTCTAAAGATATGGTGATAACAAACTTTCAAAGTCAAATCCAAGATGGCCACCTGTCGGCCCTTTTGTTTTTCTGATCGGTCCCAAAATCAAACAGGCACAACTGAGGACTACGGGGAACCTACATATGCAATTTGAAAGATCCATCCAGTGCTTCTCAAGAAATAGCAATAATAAAAATTGTTTAGGGATGGACGAGGGACTACTGATGCAGAGTGATTTGAATAGCTATCTGATGATGGTAGGCAAAAAATTTCAAAAAATGAAATTTAATACTAGTATGTTCATGTGTAACATTCTGACACTAAACATCTAATTACATGACGAAGTAACACATTGTTTTAACACAAACATGATCAACAATACCCTGTCTGGGAAAACATTAACATAGACCTCAAGATGAAAATCAGGCTTTTTTTCACTGCCTTTTTTTTGCACTAATAATGGCTACAATTCCTTAAATTGAAATTCTTGCATATTTGAGCCAAATTCCAGAAAATTGTGGTTCACTCCTAAAATATCCATCCTAATTCATCAATTTTCTTCTCAAATAGAGTTTAAACTAAAAATCATTGTTTAATCTAGTGTAACATTACTAGCTCACTAAGCAGCCTTTAATATGCATACTTACACTAAAGCAGCCCCTAGGAAATTGAGAGTAGATCCAACATACATGGGATTGTCCAAGATATTGAAGGGAAATCCAGTCACTTTCTTATCCATCAGGATACCAAAATAATCTCCTGAAACAAAAAGAATGAAAGATATTTTTACTTTACATTAAAGCAAGTGTTTAGTGAACAACATATAGGCCAAAGCTCTTAATGGTCGTCGGACAATTGATGGACAAACCATAGAATTTCAGATGGTGGTCTGATGAAATCTGATGAATTCCCACGATGATATTTTAGACCACATTTGGTGTATGTGTGTGTGTGTGAGGGGGTGGTTTGGGGGGGTGGTTGGTTGTAGGGGTGGGGTTGGGGGGGTGGGGGGTCATATCAGCTTTCTGAATATCAGAGTCAATTGCCCACCTCTACTGATGTTGCAAAATTTGAATGAAATCCAATTAAGCATAGAGATTCTTAGCAATACTATTCATTAACTTTCCCAAAGTCTCTGTTGGTCAAATCAACCTTCTGAATCGAAATGATCCTCCACCCTCAGTAATGTTTCAGACCACATTGGATTGAAATCCATTCAAGCATTAAGGGAGAGTAGCAAAATACTGACCAACTTCCCCTTTTGGGCCCTGCCCCTAACTCCCTAGGGAACAAATCAACTTTCTGAATTTAAGAATCCATTGCCCACCTCTACAGATGTTGCAAATAAAATCTGAATCAAATCCATTCAAGTATTAAGGAAAAGTATAATTTTGAAGCAAAGTCTAACTACCCTTTTGGGGCACCATCTTCAGGTCCCCAGTGGTAAGATCAACTTTCTGAATTTAATAAATAATTTCCTGCCCCAAGTATTGTTTCAGACCAAATTTGGTTGCAATCTGCCCAGGCATTAAGCAGAAGTAATGATTTAAAGGAAAAGTTTATGTACGGTGTACGATGCATGACAATGCATGATAGCAATAGGACATCTTTACCTAAAAATGCTATTTTTCGACAAGAACCAGAAATTTCAATACAATGAATGTAAAAATTGTTTATGAATATGTGTAATAGGATGACATAGTTGAAGCTTATTTATCAATTTTTAATATGTTAACATCCATGCAGAATCGAATGTACAATGAAGATGTCCCAGCTATAACATCAGATTAAAGATGATAGCAACAGAAAATTTCTTTACAGATCTGCAGAGTTCTAAACGTGAAAAGATCGTGAGTGCTCTAGCAAGTCAACTGTAGCAAATCTAAAGAGAAAATAATGATTATCAGTGATATTTTAAATATAGATTTTATAGAAATAAACATTTCTTCTGATGAGGGTGATAAATAACCATTCACCAATGTGTGATTTACGAAGAAATCTAAATCCTCACAGGAATATTTCTTCAGGCACTTGTCAAAGTCAGATTTCAACAACCTTATCCACTGAGTATCACACTGGCATTGTGGACCAGATAAACTGAAGCCTGATAAGAAAACACATGTTAACAGAATCGCTATAATTAATTGCAAAAGAGGTGTTGTTCAGTCATAACCAAGTTGATATCCTCGGGCTTCATCTACCTCACAGAAACAAGAGAGTTCCACTGTCTCCCAGTGACAAAATGACCAACAAAGGTAAACCCCTACCCCAAAAAAGCATAGAAGATGGAGCAAAGATTTATTTTTGATGCAGGTCAAAGGTCAAAATGTAGGTCAAAGTGACCTACATTTGATACATGACACAACCCTCACCAAAGCAAACTCACATCCCATGTATTAAGTTCTGTATGTAGTGACCAGAAGTGTAGAAGATATAGCTTGGCCGAGATAGTTGAAGGATGGACAGTGAAATGAATCGAAGGATGAAAGGACTTAATGTAAAACTATTGTCCCCAAATGGTCCCTGTTGGGGCACTACTAACTTGGTCAACATACCCAAGAATGTTCCATAAAAACCAAGGCTATAAAAACTGGAGAATACAAGTGTGGTCCCTATCCATATGGAGGCATAGCCTGACAATAATAACCAGTTCTCATACAACATTGGCCACTTTGGTTGACTTTCAAGCATCAACTTAAACCTGAAAAATAAAATACAAAAGACCATTAATTAGGCCCAGGAGGAGTTTTAACAGTCTATTTCCATCATGTAGTATCTGATTTTTGCTAAATTGTATGACAGGAGTGTTGACAATGTAATTCTTCCTATCAAATTTACTTCAAGTCCACAGAATTACAATTTCCAAGTAAGGATCAAGGCTGTATATCTCATAGGCTGTATATCTCATAGGCTGTATGTCTCATAGGCTGTATGTCTCACAGGCTGTATGTCTCACAGGCTGCATGTCTCATAGGCTGTATGTCTCACAGGCTGCATGTCTCATAGGCTGTATGTCTCACAGGCTGCATGTCTCATAGGCTGTATGTCTCACAGGCTGCATGTCTCATAGGCTGTATGTCTCATAGGCTGCATGTCTCATAGATTGTATTTCTCACAGCCAATATCTCTCACAGGCTATATGTCTCACAGGCTGTATGTCTCACAGGCTGCATGTCTCATAGATTGTATTTCTCACAGCCAATATCTCTCACAGGCTATATGTCTCACAGGCTGTCTGTCTCACAGGCTATATGTGTCATAGGCTGTATATCTCATAGGTTGTATGTCTCACAGGCTGCATGTCTCATACGCTGTATGTCTCACAGGCTGCATGTCTCATAGATTGTATTTCTCACAGCCTATATGTCTCACAGGCTGTATATCTCATAGGTTGTATGTATCAAAGGCTGTATGCAGGGTTTTCCAATTTGACCGGCTACTTTGATCATTTGGCTGCCTACACCAATCCAGTTCCATAATAATGTTCCGTACACGACTACACGTACACGACAGGCCAGCCTCCTACTTTCACTACACAGCCTACTACTAACAAAATTATAGAAAACCCTGTGTATGTCTTACAGGCTGCATGTCTCATAGGCTATATGTCTCATAGGTTGTATTTCTCACAGCCAATATGTCTCACAGGCTATATGTCTCATAGGCTGTATGTCTCACAGGCTATATGTCTCACAGGCTGTATGTCTCACAGGCTATATGTGTCATAGGCTGTATGTCTCATAGGCTTCTCACATCCGGGATGTATCTTATAGGCTGCATGTCTTTCATAATTTGTCTCATAGGCTGTATGTCTCATAAGCTATATGTCTCAAAGGCTATATGTCTCATAGGCTGCGTGCCTCATAAACTGTATGTCTCATACACTATATGTCTCATAGACTGTATGCTTTATAGGTTATATGTCTCATAAGCTGCATGTCTCATGGGCTATATGTCTCAAAGGTTGTATGTCTCATAGGTTGTATGTCTCATAAGAATTATCATTGATATTCTTATACCTGGCACTTTTCATGAATCCAAGTTTTCTAGAATGCCTTATAAAATTAAACTGGTATTTCAATTAAATTTAAAATATCATGATCTGGATTAAAAAAAAAATTTGAATACGCTCATGTCTCATTATTTCACTGTTTGAATTTTATCAACCTTAAAAATGTTAATTGGCTATTACTGTACTATTGGGAATATCAACAATTTTCTGGAAATTAGTCCCATGAGTGAGCAGTTTGGTGTCAATGCTTTTAGTAGCACATCCTTTTAATCTAGATAAATGTATGTATCTCTGTTTTAACACACATGAACATCAGCCAATCAGGCAATGCTTCAGAGCTTTGAAGTATGTTTCTAAATTAACACAAAACACAAGAGATGAAAAGATCAATAGTTTCAATTTGAAAATGTTCATAGTAGATAAATCTGCTGGTAACCTGACATGACTGAATTTTTCAACAGTGTGAGTGGTTGTAAAGACATTACACTGTCACACAGCATTAATGTAAATTATTCACATATCATATTTAATGATTTTGATGTGCCAATCTTTGGTATTCCAATCATTTCCATGTTAAACCTCTGACACTAAGATAAGACTCAAGGGTAAGACTAAAACATGTATCTTCACCAGTTATGAATTGTCAGGTCATTAAGTGGAAATCTTTGCCATTTTCATGTTATGATTTATGACCTCAAGTCACCAAGAGTCAGGTGAGTCCAAAATATCAGTTTAAATAAACTACAATGAGATGTGAGTAAATAATTAAGAGAAGGGAGACAACTCTAACATGCATTCAGGTTTTCATCTAGCAATGTTTGGTAATAAACAAATTGAAAATTAAAAGAAGATAGAATTATTTCTTACATCCAGTCTCTAAACACACCCAGTGATAGAATCATGATAGCCATCAAGACTACGCCTTGTTTCTTCCCACCAAGGGCCTTGCTTATCCCACCATTTCTGTACTCCCATCTTGCAACCTTAAAAGGAAATAAAATCAAAAGAGGATTCAGTATTTCTCTATCAAAGTAAGGATTTGTTCTTGAAATTGTATCAAAATATATTGTATGGATAGAATATGATTTGGAAAAAAAAGACATTTTTATTTTTTAGTTGTTGAAAGTTCAAATAATCCCATAGGATGAGTATAATAAGTCATGAAAAAGACATAACTTGTGCCAAAATGTACCATTCATTCATTAATAAAATTTACAGTTTTATAATCAGAATAGAAGTATTATTCTTCATAACCAACTTAAGTTTAAAAAAAAATAACTTAAATCAATATTCAATTACACTCAAAATTAAGAAAATATCTTTTTGAAAATTTCATTTTCTATATTTGAAATCAACTTTTTACATTTTAAAATTTTATTGTTTTAAGTGAACTATTAATATTTCTTTATCCTAAGGCAACAGGTCAGTATTTTCCCAATGCTAACTTTCTTAATTAATACTAACTTGTCCGGTCACTTACAACGTTCCAGAAGAATGGATTAAATACAACGCAGAAGGATGTTATCCATAGGTTATAGTCATTCAACTGTAAAAACTGCAATGGCCACTCCATCTACAACACCATGAGGTTGATGTTATTATAATGTTGAATTGGTAGAAACATATCAGTATCACCAACTCACCTGACTTCATCAGGTTTACCTGATATCAGTCAAAGGACCTGTTCAAATCATGAAATATGCTGGAATATTTCTTTACTATTAATCAGTAGTTAAATTTTTTAAACTCAACTCTTGGACTTAATTTGATAAAAATAATGTGATAACTATACAACAAAATTGAATCTTTTTACCTGATGACCTTTTATAATACTCTGTCACCTGTGATTTTAAATACTATGACCAGTTACTATTTGACAAAAGCTTTTAAAGGTTGACAACAGTGAAACATATGTAATTTATGTTGTGGAATTTAGAAGTACATTGTACATTTGTGAAAGTCAGACATCTAATATCTTATATTGATTACATGATCTAAAGGTTTAGATTTTGCAAATTAATGCCCAGAGTTCATAAAAAATAGTCAGTTGTACCTTAATTTTTCATCTTCAAAGGTGTCGGAAAATGTAAATGATGAAATTATAATAGAATTCAAACAAAACTGAATTGAAAACGTGCTATTCACTACTTATTTTAAAACAATTTATTTGTCTGTACTCATCTAAAATCTAACAGGTAATTTTCCATCAGTGATTCAATGATAAATATCTTAACAACCTCTAACCTTTGTATCATATGGCTATAGAGTAAGATTTAAGTATCACTAATGTGATCAAAAGATCAAGGTCATGTAGGGGATCTAGATAAGATACAAAACTCTGGCCATTGGTCAATTTTAGTTTCATGTATTAGTAGCTAGATATATATGGACAACAAAATGTTAGAAACAAATTAATCTTCCATTTGATTAGCTATCCAGAAATAATGTATAAAGGTGTCGATACAGGTTGAATTTAATATAGTGAATAGTCAGAAACAGATAAAATAAGAAAAAAAGTAACTAAATACACAATAAGGAACATCTGATTCCAGCATTAAGCTTCACTAGATTAATGTGGTTTTTCAATATTTTCTGTTAATGAAATAATGTTGGTGAGTTCTCAATACTACAGTGTAGAACATAACCCTCTAAACTGACCCTGTGGGTCCCCCCCCCTCCCCGAAAGTAAGACAAAGTATTTATAAAATTTTCTCTGTATGATAATACATAATACATCTGTAAAATTGTCCCTATATGTTAATACATTATATTATTGTAAACATTTCCCTGCATGGTAATGATAGAGATTTATTGTAAGACATTATACATTTGTAAACTGATGAGTTTATGTCTTTCAATAATCATTGATTGAATGTTGACTTAGGCACAGTCTCTTATTTGAATAATATTCTTCACTCTTCATAGGTCTGAATTTAAATTTTAACATCAATTCAACACTATGATAATTCAGACTACCAGTAAGTCAGACTATTAAAACCTATTTCTATTTTTTAACTAACACCCCCTCCCCCTTTCTATGTTATTGTGCCTATTTCCAATAATTATGTTCACCCAAGAATGGAATGTAAGTGTCTGGGTGATTATATATATAAAAAAAAGAGATCACGTAAAGTGGAGATCTAGTGACAAAAATTGGCACATTTGAATGACAGAAAATAATGTTGATTTTTTTAAATAGTGTTTTCCTAGGAAATATTATGTTGAAAATATTGTTTGGTATCTTTGGCAAATACTTCCCAAATTTATGCAAATTAACACATGTTTACAATGTTACAGTCAATTCTAGTATAAATTTTCCATCAGGTATTAATTTCACAGATAGAATGGTATAATTGGCATTTAGCAATATTTTAAAATAAAAATCATCTGAGATCTTATCAGCAAATTTGGTATTTACTCCGTCCCTACTATTTATTTTAAAATGTTAAATATGCTCAAAAGTGATATTTCTAAAATACATGCAAACTGAAGTCGAAATGAGGTATATAATGTAATTTCGAAATCAAGTTGTTGTAAAAAAATAAACAAAAATGCTGTACAAACCTTGGAAAGGTCTAAAAATACAACTTCATCACAACAACCCGCTGGTTTTCTTCCTGTCGTCTGCAAGATCATTCGGTTACCTCTCTGAACTTTATCATAACATACACATTTAGACTCACTTCCGAAAGACGTATAACCTTAATTATTTGCAGGTCACATAAACATTCCTAATGTTGCCATCCATAAATCGTTAATTTTACGGAGGAGGCCTAGTGAACGCTTTATTAATGTGATAGAAAGATCTAGACGGCCGGTCATACAACATAGTCATATTAAGATGTACTGCACTATCATCCTCTCGAACAGCATGGGACATCTGTAATTTGTCAAAGTCCTGTATAAGATCAAAAACTATTAAAATCAAGTCCGTAATACCTTAACCTAATACATTACATGATTACGTCCAAAACCATAATTTTTTGGCAACTGTCATCGTGCTTTTCTTCTATGAAACGACTCAAATATTCGAGTTACGAGAACGGTGTTTCCCTATATATACGGAAGTTGGTATTAATGCAGGGGATGTAACTCTGATTTGAAACACGAATGGAAACTGTCTAGTTTTAAGCAGCGGGTTTATTTAAAACAAAATAATCGTTTTTGATGGTACTTCCAACTCGTAAGAAATTAATAATAGGATTTATCATTAATGTAAAATTGACATGTACTTTGTGTAAAATATTGCGGTTTAGGAATCATGACGGGCTAACACTCGTAACAGGAAACCATAGCAACCGATTGAGATTCAGTTTCCTGTAATTTTAAGCTTCTGGCCATCTTACTGACGGAATCAAAGTTGAATGTACTTTCCAAAGAGGAAATAGCTATTTCAAACTTACTTCTTTCCAAAGTATGGAAAATTAAGGAGATGGTTCTGTGTAAGTCTAATGTGGTTCATTGTGACATCACAAGTTCTTGTGCACCACAAATACTGACAATCGTTGATTGTGTTGTATTTTTATTGGATACGTCGTGAATACTGCATTCACTTCCATTCATAATGTTACTTAATTAACCAAGATTTGTAAATATGGAGAGTAAAACTAGCATTGGCAACAAAAGCGTGAAGACGGCGAAGGGAGCTTTCAAAAACAAAAAGAGTTTGATGCCACAGGCTTCAACAAAAATTTCAAAGCAGATCTCGAGTACTGGTCAGTCAACTGGCTCTACAAATGGAGGTAAGTTCATCTATTATTTTCAGTCTTTCGAAAAAAAAACAACCCTATCCGAGCAGTGACGGAGAATCATCCTTGTTCAGCTCAATGATTGAGCCAATGATATTCAAATACACATTGATTAACAATCTAAATAAATGTGTAGTAGGCATACTGGGTTATATATTGCATTGGTTTAGGTATATAGATCTGCAGGGATATTCCCAAAGAGGGCCAATGGACCCTAGGCCCCACTTAACTGAAATGGACCCCTTCAATTTTTCCATTATCTTTTAATTTTACATATGATGTCACACTACATTTTTGGTACTGGCTAAGAATTGCTGAAAATGGCCTGTTTCTCTCTGCTGACAGTGCTGTCATAATTTCCCCTCAGTTATGTGTGTAATTTCTGAAGAATTGATGCATGAACTAATTTTTAACAGAGAAAAAAAAGAAGCCACCACCGAAGATTTGGGACAATGAATTACAGAAGATGGTCATCAAACCACTAAACTTCCTAATGGTAGGTCTCTTTCTAGATCTGTTGTACATTAGAAACTTTACATTAATGTAACGAAGAGACTAACTACAACAATATGATACTTTTTATCACATATATATAGATATTGATTGGAAATTATATGGAGATGCCTGATTTAAAAAGTCTTATTATAATTATACTAAAAATCCTCACATAACACACGTGGACTGCTCATTATTTATAGTTGAAAGTAAGCTCTGTATTGTGCTTATTAGTCAGTATGTAAAAGTCATTGGATGTAATCCAGAATTTCATACAAATTTTATACTATTCATTTAATCCTGAATTTAATACATAGTGAAGTCAAAAATGTATAATTTGAGTAAATCAGTATTTTTTCTAGTATGTCCATTTCTGTAAAAAAATGAAAACATGGAAAATAGAATTCCACCCTCAGAAATTTAGCAATTCCTTTTGATAAGAAATAGATCCTCTGTCCATTACAACTACTACCACCATGGTCGCTGCCTTAAACATACTGACAAAGCAAAATATTTAGCCTCAGTGTAACCATCTAACAAGACCTCAGATGAGATTTCTATAATTCCCACATGGTACAACAATATTGGTCACGAAGATAATTATCTCCATTCAGCTGGAAAAAAAATCTTAAATATGTGGAAACTTATTCTTATAAATCATAGGTGTGTCTAATCTTAGAATACTCTAGTTCTGTGTGGAACCCTTCTGAAAAGGCTAGTTTTGTATCCAGCAGGTATCATAATGATGTTCAAAATTACTTCAAGAAAATACACATTAATAAAGATCTTTATCATCATTCTGAGAGACCAGTCTCTCACATCACCTCTCTTACCAAATACCACACTGTAAAATTGACTCTCGTAAATACTCTTAAACAATATATCCAACTAGAATTAGCTCTGGACAGATCTGCCATCTCAATATATCTTTAAATCTAATCTTTCTCCTCTGTCCAAAAACTAGAATTCTCTTTCTTACTTCCCTTACAAGTAATCGTCCTTTATACTGTATTACTATGACACTCATTACATTGAGGTAGGTCGTCGGTCATTTGGTTGAAGGTAGAAAATAAATCTGAAATGGTTAAAAAACTTTATTTATACTGTTATGAGTATTAAACTTGTTACTGTCACCTGAGAAAAGTCTGGTACTTTGTGTGTAATCAACCCTACAATCTATACAATGTAATTCTTTTATTCTCCAGATAAGAGCAGATCTACAAAAGGAAAGACAGAGTACCGGCATGTCATTATTCATTAATGAAGAATTAGAGAAGTCTGTTGTAGTTCGTAAATCAAAACCAGAAATTGCAGGGTAAGAGTTCGAAGTTATCTAGGGAGTGTTCCAAATTCTTAATACAAAATATTTTCTACAGCAAATTTTAGCCGAGTTTAATGATTTTGTTTTGTGTGGTTTTTTATCTGCAGTATTCATTAATATAAATATTTTATCTAATGTTGATAAGACTTTGAGTCATAACTTGATGGTAAGGCTGATATAAGTTCCAGCACAAGATTCAGGGAAAAAAACCCAGAAATGTTTAAGATATTTTTCAAAAACTAAATGAATTTCAACTATGTATTATGTGTTGATTCTAGTAAATCTCAGTCTAGATAACTCAAATCGTTAATGAATGCCAAATAAAGAAAAGAACAAACAAAACAGATTAAAAATAAGGCATTCATATTTGTAAACAACAGTGAAAGTAATTTGAATTCAATTGATTAAGACTTATTGTTTTGAATTTTAAGCAAATTTTCAGATGATGCTACATAGTGTTCAGCTTCATTTCTGTCTGTAAAGAATTTGTCTTGTGGACAAATACCATATTTTTTGAAATTTTGAAACATAATGAAAATTTACTGAAATTTTGTGATTAGTTAATCATATTATTGATAAGAATAAAGAAATTAGGAATAGAGTATGTTTTTATAAACATATAGAAAAAGATTTGTTTGGTAAACTGAAACTAATATTGACCAACACAAAAAGTGGACTACAACAAGGTTTGGGTGATTAATTCAAACAAAATAATTCTTGATTTATTTTTGCCATTCCAGGAAAACTGTCATGGTTCTGAAACCAGCATCGCCCAGTGCTGAAATACAGTACAGTAAAGATATAAGTATGTCATTAACATGGACTACATTGATCTTCTGTCTACTCAAGAAAATTTTCTCATAATGTTACAAGTCTAAAGAACTTTTTGAAACTGTTGAAATTTACAAAATTCTAGGTTATTTTGATGATATAACCATTTAAGATTTTTTTCATTTGTCTTTTACCTTTTGGTTTGTTTAATGTTATTTCCTTTTGGATCACTGTGTGTTTTACTGGTTGATGGCCTTAATGACTTTTTATGTGTTGACGGGCCGTTTAGAATGTCATAATAATAATTTTATGTGTTGACGGGCCGTTAAGAAGGGAATAGTAATAATTTGATGTGTTGACGGGCCGTTAAGAAGGGAATAGTAATAATTTGATGTGTTGACGGGCCGTTAAGAAGGGAATAGTAATAATTTGATGTGTTGACGGGCCGTTAAGAAGGGAATAGTAATAATTTGATGTGTTGACGGGCCGTTTAGAATGTCATAGTAATAATTTTATGTGTTGACGGGCCGTTTAGAATTAAGAAGGGCCGTTAAGAAGGGAATAGTAATAATTTGATGTGTTGACGGGCCGTTAAGAAGGGAATAGTAATAATTTGATGTGTTGACGGGCCGTCAAGAAGGGAATAGTAATAATTTGATGTGTTGACGGGCCGTTAAGAATGTCATAGTAATAATTTGATGTGTTGACGGGCCGTTAAGAAGGGAATAGTAATAATTTGATGTGTTGACGGGCCGTCAAGGGGCCGTCAAGAAGGGAATAGTAATAATTTGATGTGTTGACGGGCCGTTAAGAAGGGAATAGTAATAATTTGATGTGTTGACGGGCCGTCAAGAAGGGAATAGTAATAATTTGATGTGTTGACGGGCCGTCAAGAAGGGAATAGTAATAATTTGATGTGTTGACGGGCCGTTAAGAAGGGAATAGTAATAATTTGATGTGTTGACGGGCCGTTAAGAAGGGAATAGTAATAACATGATAACAATGATGATAATAACAAAAATTTACCCATTGTAACTCTTCAGATTTTAATCTCTCCTGTCCTCTTTATCTTTCTTTTGTTGTTGGCTCTTCTGAGAATCACTCTCATGTGACCCTCAGTGTTTGGACGGTGTAAATTAACACAAGGAAACCAACAGCATAATACATCTTATACAGAACGTAACAGAATGTATACCTTTTAATTGCAAGAGTTTAGATTTAATTTGAATATCAATCATTGAAAATTATGAACATCTTTCAGGTTATGCTGGTCCTAGATTCAGTGACAAAGGAAAGTTTATCACTCACAGTATCCTGGGGGGACTGGAAGATTTCAAGAAGATGGCACTTCAGAAAGGAGAGTTTCAGGTGGGTGACTGTCTGAATAAATATTCTCTAATTTTTGTGAAGTCTTTGAATCATCAGTTTAGGTTATTTTCAGTGTTTTTTCTGATCAGAGAGACAAAGCATGTCCTCATACTTATAAATTTCTATGTTATAAGAAACTAAACATGTTTCCTGTCTATAAGACTGACTTTACCTGACAGAGATTAATTTCTATTACTAATCTGAACACTTATGTTTCTGTTCGGGATTCTAAACTTTCTTCTGTAGCTCACTTTTCATAAACACAAAGAGACAAATCTAGTATTTATATACCACAGTCAAACTGCTGCCCCAATTACATTCTGGTGTTATCTCCCTTAGCTTACACTCCATCCACATTGATTGATGTGAATACTTCAGGTCCCAGTTACATTCTGGTGTTATCTCCCTTAGCTTACACTCAATCCACATTGATTGATGTGAAGACTTCAGGCCCCAGTTACATTCTGGTGTTATCTCCCTTAGCTTACACTCAATCCACATTGATTGATGTGAAGACTTCAGGCCCCAGTTACATTCTGGTGTTATCTCCCTTAGCTTACACTCAATCCACATTGATTGATGTGAAGACTTCAGGCCCCAGTTACATTCTGGTGTTATCTCCCTTAGCTTACACTCAATCCACATTGATTGATGTGAAGACTTCAGGCCCCAGTTACATTCTGGTGTTATCTCCCTTAGCTTACACTCAATCCACATTGATTGATGTGAAGACTTCAGGCCCCAGTTACATTCTGGTGTTATCTCCCTTAGCTTACACTCAATCCACATTGATTGATGTGAAGACTTCAGGCCCCAGTTACATTCTGGTGTTATCTCCCTTAGCTTACACTCAATCCACATTGATTGATGTCAAACTGCTGCCCCAATTACATTCTGGTGTTATCTCCCAGTTACACTCAATCCACATTGATTGATGTGAAGACTTCAGGCCACAATTACATTCTGGTGTTATCTCCCTTAGCTTACACTCTATCCACATTGATTGATGTGAAGACTTCAGGCCCCAGTTACATTCTGGTGTTATCTCCCTTAGCTTACACTCAATCCACATTGATTGATGTGAAGACTTCAGGCCCCAGTTACATTCTGGTGTTATCTCCCTTAGCTTACACTCTATCCACATTAATTGATGTGAAGACTTCAGGCCCCAGTTACATTCTGGTGTTATCTCCCTTAGCTTACACTCAATCCACATTGATTGATTGATAAGATTTGAAAAATAAGATATTATATGAAAATGACTATTGTGCTATCTGTAGTGGCACACTTTTCGATATGAGGCTTCATATCACATGTCGTGTTTACAATAGGAGAAAATGACAGTTATAATACATTTCTCTTATATTTAATACATCAAATCACCTGCCATGTCTTGTTTTAAACAGCATTTGTTTGCTAGCCACACATCCACCATGAAGAGAAGGAAGCCTAAGGTGGATGATTTCTGTCGCCCACTAAAGACATGGAAACATCACCTGAAGGACTGGAAAAACTTAAGACGCCATCTTTCTAGTGAGTATAGTAATATTTCTTACATGTGTTTTCACCCTGGTACTTGGACAATGGAACATTTTCTATTCATTGTGATACTGTGCACTGGATGGATCGCTGAGATGTTGAATGTGAGGATTTTATTGCTATTCTTTTCAGTAAAATGGTGACTAAGGAGTCTAGCAAATTAACAGATTCTATTTCTCGTGGTAGAATTTACTTGATATATAAGTTAAACTGGTCAATTTCTGATTAAGATTTGAACTTAATTTTGTGATAAGTATATAGAGGCAATTCAGTTGTCATTCCACATGACTTATTTTCAAAACAAGCAAAGTCTTAACAAATATACAATAAAGACAGAACTGTTTGTATATTACTGACTACTTATCTCTATAATGTGATATACCCCACGCACAGATATGTGTATTGACTTTGAAAACTATTCATTTGTCGATGTTTCTTAATGCTTCCTCCATCATTATTTTCACTCCAATATCTTCATTTCTCCTGCCTATTTTTAAGGTCTTGCAAAATACAGCAATATCAAACTTATAAATTTGTATGTAAACAGAGTTTGTTGGTATCAGTTATATATAGGTCAATATATACTTCTAATGAACTGTAATTTGATGTACACATTAGAATTTGTCAGGAAATAAATATTCACCTAGTAGCAGTTTTGTGATTTTTAAAAAATCTGTTTTTTTCTTTCATCATTCATTTTGTTTACTTACATTGAAAATAACTGTAGAGTCGATTCACTCAATCTAATAAGATTGTCTGACTAAACATTCTTGGGTAATTTTAGAGCATTGACTTCTGTTATTGGCCATAGATATCTGATGTCTATTTTCATGAGAGCATTGTATAACAGGTTATTTTCAGTACACAATTTTGTATGATAATCTAGTAAATTTTGGCGATATCAGTTATCAATACCAACATTTTTTTATGTAACATGTACATGTAGAGATGTCTCTATAATAACAGTCACACACACAGCTTATACAGATTTCACAAATAACTAATTCTTGCTAATTCACAGATAAAGTTTCCCGCCCAGCTGAGAATCTGCTGATGAATACGCCCGATATCTATCCTCGACCAATTCTGGATAGACAACATGTACATGCAGCTCTAGAAGCTATGTACGCTAGTCATGGTAAGGGAGGGGAAATAACTCTTGTTGATTAAAAAGTTGGCAGTTCGATTTTTATCTACTATTAGTTTTAATATTCTTTAAACACATTTAGCAAATTTTGATTTTTTTTTTCTGTCTCAGGAGAACACAGGGTAGCCAGTAGATTCTGGAGACAGAGAGTACCAAGGGGAGACGATCTCACTGGAATCCAGTAAGTATATAATTTTTTAATATTCACATATACTAGATCTTTGTGAAAAGAAAATGTAGTCAGTTAATTCACTAAATTTTCTTGACAATTGCTAAGAAAATTCTTTGCATTTTAATTTCAGAATCTTCCATGTCATTAGTTCAATTGTAAACAAAAAATTGAACAATCCACACCTCCATTCTCCTTTTATTCATTAAAAGTGCAACACTATTCATCAGACATATTTCTTAAGTTTTGCCTTTTTTGGATTTCATGCATATGTCTGATTTTTTATATATAATTTTTGTGTGATTATTTACTGAAGATAAATTTATCGACAATTGATGATTAAAATATAAACTTAATTCAACTTATACTAACAACTGTTGTTGGCCCAGATGTAAGCACACAATGGGTTTTAAGTGGGAGGAAATCAGAGAGCCTGGAACAACCCAGGTTGGCAGATGAATTCCTTTACCTTTTCCTGTTCATTCAGGTTACCATGGCACCACCTGTCCACCCACTATATTTCCTTATATATGTTCAATTTTTTTAACGTAGGCACTTGAGGCCTTTTCCTCTAATAAAATGAGATGCTAATGAAATATATTGAGGTAGATACTGTAAATCAAAGTTTGAATGTAGAAACAACATAGATCAAGCATAATGTCTGGACAAACTGCACATGTTTTGTTTCTACTGGTGCCGCAGCACTGTAGAAGTTCATTCTGTTGAAACCTAATACACAATAGAAAAAAACCCCAGATTTTGAGAGTTTATGTTTTGTGATAATTTACAGTGTGACATTGAACCAATCAGAAAAGGGAACAGTTATGGCCTCTGAACAATTTGTCGATGTCCCCAATAGTATCAAGCAGGAGAAAGGTATGTCAACCAAAAATAGAAACGAGAAAAAAAAACATAATTGATTTTCTGTTATACATGTGTCTTAATGTACAAGTATGAGATATGATTCTATCATTATTTCATTGAACCATTTCTTACATGGACAGACTGTTTCTTCAGCAATATCAGTATTGATTTTTAGGTTTTGTAAATCAGGACAGATCCAATAACTAATAATGCTCAGCCCTAAAGAGGCTTGGTCAAGGCCATATTTCATAAACAAACAACCCTGGTTGAACTGGTGAGAAAGATGAAAATGGCTCTGATATCACATTACGTCAAATTGCGTGATACACCAGTATAAGTCATGGCTGTTTACCTTTATTTCATGACAGTCTGGAGATAACATTATTAAAATCTACATTGTAAAAAGGAACATATTTATGGTGTCAAATCTGTTGATGGATAAAATCCTTCGAATTCTGACTTTAAGACATTAAATTTTTTCTTTAAACTTGACTTTTAATATATCTTATAGTTTCGGCTTTGAAGTTAATACTTCATTGATAAACCACTGCTAAAACTTTTTGTCTCAAAATTTAAAGGAATTACCCAGCCTCACTTTTCAAACTTTTCATGATGAACATGTTATTAACAGGAATTGTCTAACCTCGCTTTTAACTTTTTCACGATGAATGTTTTATCAAGAGGAATTACCCAGCCTCACTTTCTAACACAAATGAATTATTTGTTATTAAGAGGAATGACCCCGCCTCACTTTTTAAACATTTCATGATTAATGTGTTATTAAAAGGAATGACACAGCCTCACTTTCTAAACTTTTCATGATGAATGTGTTATTAAGAGGAATTACCCAGCCTCACTTTTTTTAAAAACTTTTCATGATGAAGGTGTTAAGAGGAATTACCCAGCCTCACTTTTTTTAAAAACTTTTCATGATGAAGGTGTTATTAAGAGGAATTACCCAGCCTACTACACCCACTATCTCCAGGAACAGGAATCAGCTGTCTCTGATGTCATACATATCCTTAATCCACACCACCCTGTAAGTATACTAAAGTCAAACCTGCCTATAAAGGCCATTCAAGGGAGCAGAAACCATTGGCCTCTATATAGAGGTTCAATGGTTATCAATTAGATTACTTCGATATTCAAAACTGCATTTTTCTTTAAATGTGCACACTCATAGTCTTTAAAAATGATAAAAAGATATCATAATAATACTGGGCAAAAGGAGCTGGTCAATGTGACTTGTAAATTATGGTCTCTGTCACTCAGCTGATGGGGCGGTGTGACTTGTATATAGTGTTAATTATGGTCTCTGCCACTCAGCTGATGGGGCGGTGTGACTTGTATATAGTGTTAAATACAGTCTCTGTCACTCAGCTGACGGGTCAGTGTGACTTGTATATAGTGTTAAATGCAGTCTCTGTCACTCAGCTGATCGGTCAGTGTGACTTGTATATAGTGTTAAATACTGTCTCTGTCACTCAGCTGACGAGTCAGTGTGACTTATATATAGTGTTAAATACTGTCTCTGTCACTCAGCTGACGAGTCAGTGTGACTTGTATATAGTGTTGAAGACAGTCTCTGTCACTCAGCTGACCGGTCAGTGTGACTTGTATATAGTGTTAAATACTGTCTCTGTCACATGGCTGACAGATTGGTGTGACTTGTATATAGTGTTAAATACAGTCTCTGTCACTCAACTGACGGGGTGGTGTGACTTGTATATAGTGTTAAATACAGTCTCTGTCACTCGGCTGACGGGGTGGGGTGACTTGTATATAGTGTTAAATACTGTCTCTGTCACTCAGCTGACGGGTCAGTGTGACTTGTATATAGTGTTAAAAACAGTCTCTGTCACTCAGATGACAGGTCAGTGTGACTTGTATATAGTGTTAAATACAGTCTCTGTCACTGAGCTGATTGGTCAGTGTGACTTGTATATAGTGTTAAATACAGTCTCTGTCACTAAGCTGACAGGTTGGTGTGACTTGTATATAGTGTTAAATACAGTCTCTGTCACTCAGCTGACCGGTCAGTGTGACTTGTATATAGTGTTAAATACAGTCTCTGTCACTCAGCTTATGGGTCAGTGTGACTTGTATATAGTGTTAAATACAGTCTCTGTCACTCAGCTGACCGGTCAGTGTGACTTGTATATAGTGTTAAATACTGTCTCTGTCACTCAGCTGACGGGTCAGTGTGACTTGTATATAGTGTTAAATACAGTCTCTGTCACTCAGCTGACGGGTCAGTGTGACTTGTATATATTTTTAAATACAGTCTCTGTCACTCAGCTGACCGGTTAGTGTGACTTGTATATAGTGTTAAAAACAGTCTCTGTCACTCAGCTGACGAGTCAGTGTGACTTGTATATAGTGTTAAATACAGTCTCTGTCACTAAGCTGACAGGTTGGTGTGACTTGTATATAGTGTTAAATACAGTCTCTGTCACTCAGCTGAGTATATGACAGTCTCTGGTCAGTGTGACTTGTATATAGTGTTAAATACAGTCTCTGTCACTCAGCTGATGGGTCAGTGTGACTTGTATATAGTGTTAAATACAGTCTCTGTCACTCAACTGACGGAGTGGTGTGACTTGTATATAGTGTTAAATACAGTCTCTGTCACTCAGCTGACAGGTCAGTGTGACTTGTATATAGTGTTAAATACAGTCTCTGTCACTCAGCTGACGGGTCAGTGTGACTTGTATATAGTGTTAAATACAGTCTCTGTCACTCAGCTGACCGGTCAGTGTGACTTGTATATAGTGTTAAATACAGTCTCTGTCACTCAGCTGATGGGTCAGTGTGACTTGTAGTCTCTGTCACTCAGCTGACGGTCAGTGTGACTTAAGTGTTAAATACAGTCTCTCACTCAGCTCAGGTCAGTGTGACTTGTATATAGTGTTAAATACAGTCTCTGACAGGTCAGTGTGACTTGTATATATAGTCTCTGTTAACTGAGTCAGTGTGACTTGTATATAGTAGTCTCTGTCACTCAGCTGACAGGTCAGTGTGACTTGTATATAGTGTTAAATACTGTCTCTGTCACTCAGCTGACGGGTCAGTGTGACTTGTATATAGTGTTAAATACTGTCTCTGTCACTCAGCTGACGGGTCAGTGTGACTTGTATATAGTGTTAAATACTGTCTCTGTCACTCAGCTGACGGGTCAGTGTGACTTGTATATAGTGTTAAATACTGTCTCTGTCACTCAGCTGATGCGGCATGTTTCTTTTACTCAGTTGGTATAGCTGGTCTATAGTGTAAAAGGAGCGGGTTGGTGTGGCTTGTACACATGATAAGTGAACCTAGCTGTATACATTTAATTCATCGCACATGAAAGTTTACATGCGTTGATGACATAACACTGGCTATCAACTTTTAAATTTTCTTCTCAGAAAGGTTTTATTTTTGATTGGCATCTCAAGTCTCTGATGTTAACAATGGAAATATCGACATTTGTTCTCAACACTTTGTGGTTTTTAATTCAATAGTTAATTGAGGATCTAAGCATTACTGGTAAGACACAGAAACCTTCATCAGCGCACTCTGGTGGAGACGGACCAAATGTTGTAGGGGACATAACTCTTGAAGAAGTTCATATCGGCAAAAGAGTTGAGGAAGATATTTTTGAAAAAAGGTAAACAAATCAAAATTGATCTTATCAGGTACCAATATTGGATGTAATATTTACTGTCATGTGATGAATGGATTTTAGTAATAATACATCAGACATTGATTCTATTCATAAAGAGTGAGATAATTACTATACAGAATCCGACTTGTACTTGTAATTGTCTTTGGGATCATAGGGCTGTATAGGAGGGGGTTTATAGAGTAGATGTAAAGTGTACAGGTTCTGTCCAGTGATAAGTGAAAAGTTTCAAACATGACTCAAACAAATTCGGAAACATTCTTTGATATCACATTGTTGAGACAGGTCAGATTGGTATATTTTGAGTGTAAATTAATCTAGACTTAAAGATTTTTCCTTAGTTAAGAGGTAGGGTGGTGAGCTAGAATGTTGATAGCTGGTGTCCATGGAAACAAGAAACATGTTTTGCACATTAGATATCTTAAAGACTTGATGAAGATTCTTTACACTTTAATTATTGATGTAATTTTTGTATGTTAATGTTTTTTCAGTGCTTCACATTCCTCAACTATTCAAGATCCTATCACAACCACACAAAATGGGCCAGCTGTCATGATTGGTAGCCAGGTGTTTGGGTGGGTGGGGCCTAACCTTGACCACAGAGGACAAACAGCAGGGATAGCTTCTGTGTTATTTGAGGGTGTAGTGGGTAAAAACCTGCTCAGTTATCTGGAGATCTACAATGTCGGTACAACTGTGATCTACTATGAATGGACAGTAAGTGAACTTCAATGATTTTAAATAGAAAAAATTATGTGTTGAACATATTCATGTTTGAAGGAAGAGAACATGAAAGCTCTATGAGTAGTACACCAGCCCAGATAAAGATAAGATGTCCCCACACATGATGTATCTGGTTCCCACACATGATGTATCTGGTCCCTGTATCTGGTCCCCACACATGATGTATCTGGTTCCCACACATGATGTATCTGGTTCCCACACATGATGTATCTGGTCCCTGTATCTGGTCCCTACACATGATGTATCTGGTCCCTGTATCTGGTCCCTACACATGATGTATCTGGTCCCTATATCGGGTCCCTACACATGATGTATCTGGTCCCCACACATGATGTATCTGGTCCCTACACATGATGTATCTGGTCCCTGTATCTGGTCCCTACACATGATGTATCTGGTCCCCACACATGATGTATCTGGTCCCTACACATGATGTATCTGGTCCCTGTATCTGGTCCCTACACATGATGTATCTTGTCCCCACACATGATGTACCTGGTCCTTACACATGATGTATCTGGTCCTTGTATCTGGTCCCCACACATGATGTATCTGGTCCCCACACATGATGTATCTGGTCCCCACACATGATGTATCTGGTCCCTGTATCTGGTCCCCACACATGAGGTATCTGGTCCCCACACATGATGTATCTGGTCCCTGTATCTGGTCCCCACACATGATGTATCTGGTCCCCACACATGATATATCTGGTCCCTGTATCTGGTCCCCACACATGATGTATCTGGTCCCTGTATCTGGTCCCCACACATGATGTATCTGGTCCCCACACATGATGTATCTGGTCCTTGTATCTGGTCCCCACACATGATGTATCTGGTTCCCACACATGATATATCTGGTCCCTGTATCTGGTCCCCACACATGATGTATCTGGTCCCTGTATCTGGTCCCCACACATGATGTATCTGGTCCCCACACATGATGTATCTGGTCCTTGTATCTGGTCCCCACACATGATGTATCTTGTCCCTGTATCTGGTCCCCACACATGATGTATCTGGTCCCCACACATGATGTATCTGGTCCCTGTATCTAGTCCCCACACATGATGTATCTGGTCCCTGTATCTGGTCCCCACACATGATGTATCTGGTCCCTGTATCTGGTCCCCACACATGATGTATCTGGTCCCTGTATCTGGTCCCCACACATGATGTATCTGGTCCCCACACATGATGTATCTGGTCCCCACACATGATGTATCTGGTCCCTGTATCTGGTCCCCACACATGATGATTTATGTTTTTCAGGAATCTAGGTTATTATGTTAGTGCTAACCCAGCAAACAAACAAGTCGTCATTAATGATATGTCTTGTAGAGGAGTAAAAAGTTGTTGAGTACACTCACTTCTATAAAATATTATGCATTTATTTTCTCCTTGAATTACTTCTGATAAACCTTCCTATTAAAAAACTTATATTAAGTGTACATTGTGTCTAATTGATGTTATATTATAATCATTAAACTTCAGTAATTGTGTGGTAGTAATGACCAGTGCATTAATTACACTGTATCAACTGTTGGTCACTCTACCATTAACTCTTCCTATTCCATGTACACTATACTACAAATGTTATCATTGATGATAGTGTAGATGTAGTCCATACCTGTGTCTGTGTAAATGAGGGTGTGTGTTTATCTTTTATACAGTGTAAATTGTGAGTTACCTCCCTTGATTCTGTTGTGTACGTGTAGTGTAGATGTAGTCCATACCTGTGTCTGTGTAAATGATGGTGTGTGTTTATCTGTTATGCAGTGTAAATGTTGAGTTACCTCCCTTGATTCTGTTGTGTACGTGTAGTGTAGATGTAGTCCATACCTGTGTCTGTGGAAATGAGGGTGTGTATTTATCTTTTATACAGTGTAAATTGTGAGTTACCTCCCTTGATTCTGTTGTGTACGTGTAGTGTAGATGTAGTCCATACGTGTGTCTGTGTAAATGAGGGTGTGTATTTATCTTTTATACAGTGTAAATTTTGAGTTACCTCCCTTGATTCTGTTGTGTACGTGTAGTGTAGATGTAGTCCATACCTGTGTCTGTGTAAATGAGGGTGTGTATTTATCTTTTATACAGTGTAAATTTTGAGTTACCTCCCTTGATTCTGTTGTGTACGTATAGTGTAGATGTAGTCCATACCTGTGTCTGTGTAAATGAGGGTGTGTGTTTATCTTTTATACAGTGTAAATTTTGAGTTACCTCCCTTGATTCTGTTGTGTACGTGTAGTGTAGATGTAGTCCATACCTGTGTCTGTGTAAATGAGGGTGTGTATTTATCTTTTATACAGTGTAAATTGTGAGTTACATCCCTTGATTCTGTTGTGTATGTGTAGTGTCGATGTAGTCCATACCTGTGTCTGTGTAAATGATGGTGTGTGTCTATCTGTTATACATTGTAAATGTTGAGTTACCTCCCTTGATTCTGTTGTGTATGTGTAGTGTAGATGTAGTCCATACCTGTGTCTGTGTAAATGAGGGTGTGTGTTTATCTGTTATACATTGTAAATTTTGAGTTACCTCCCTTGATTCTGTTGTGTACGTGTAGTGTAGATGTAGTCCATACCTGTGTCTGTGTAAATGAGGGTGTGTATTTATCTTTTATACAGTGTAAATTTTGAGTTACCTCCCTTGATTCTGTTGTGTACGTGTAGTGTAGATGTAGTCCATACCTGTGTCTGTGTAAATGAGGGTGTGTATTTATCTTTTATACAGTGTAAATTTTGAGTTACCTCCCTTGATTCTGTTGTGTATGTGTAGTGTAGATGTAGTCCATACCTGTGTCTGTGTAAATGAGGGTGCGTGTTTATCTGTTATGCAGTGTAAATTTTGAGTTACCTCCCTTGATTCTGTTGTGTACGTATAGTGTAGATGTAGTCCATACCTGTGTCTGTGTAAATGAGAGTGTGTATTTATCTGTTATATGTTGTAAATTGTGAGTTACCTCCCTTGAACGGTTGTGTATCTGTAGATATTTTATTTCTTTTTTTCCATCCAGTGTTTACTTAAGCTACTAGTTCTATAGATTAGTATTGTTCCACTTCAGTAGCCGTCCATGGACAGAATTTATATAGGTTTTGTCTGTTATTCAATCCGTTTGAACATACCAACTGTCAATAAAATTTGTTGAAATGAAAGTGTTGGATTTTTTTTAACAATGCATTTTTAAGGGATGTTGGGTAGGCATATCTGTTACATCTTGTCCCCTTCCAATTTAGTGTCATACCCCATGATGGCTTAACATCAAGTTCTTAATGATAAAAGTGGTCGAGGTCATACTTGACAGTTTCTTGTCTTTGGCATCCATGTTTTTTACAGACATTTTCTAGTTCTGACAGATTCTGAATTCTCTTAACTTAATTACCTGATTAGAAGATTCTTTGACAAATAAGTATGTTCGTTGATATGTAAGAATGTAAATGAGTGTGTGTATGTATTGTTTGTGTGTATACATACATGTATATATGTAAGTGTGTGTATGTATTGTTTGTGTGTATACATACATGTATATATGTAAGTGTATGTATGCAAGCATGTACATGCGTACTACATATGTGTGAGAGGGTGTGTGTGTGTGTATGATTATGGGTGTGTACCTGGGTGTGTATCTGTATAAAGTCTCACAGTTTGAATATGTAGGTGTGTTCTTGTGCATGTGCCTGTAAGCGTAGGTTTATTTTTATTCATGTATCTACTGTACACTGTACTGAATAAAAAGTTTCAAAAAAAAAAAAAAGATTCTTTGACACTTGAATAGATTTACATTTGATGAAGTATTGAATACAAATTGCTGTTTCACTTTGTTACAGAAAAATGAGAAGAAAGGTTTAGAAAACCTGCCATCTTTCCAGAACATGAAATTCTACTTCTTTACTGAGGGAGGTAAGACATTTAAATGTACACTTAAGTGATACTATCACAAAGCATTAGATAGGCTAAGTCAGATGTCTAATTTTATAGTGACTTATGTTTCTATCAATAAGATTGGTTGAAATGAATACCCAAATATAGCCATACTGGAACACTTTCTCTTTGTCCTCTGCTTGTATTTTGCTATTCAGCTGAATCAAATCTTAATATCAAACAAAAATTAAGGATTTTAAAATAACTGAAAAATGCTTTGTCTGCTTATTAACTCCTTGTTTATTTTCTAATCAGCAAATTAACTGAGAAAAAATTGAGGTTTTTCATGTTCTCAAGAATGCATTGTGATACCCTTACATGATAGAGAATAAATTTATTTGAAATTTGAAACTTTTAATGATATGAAATCATATTACTGTTATTTAAAGATAAAATTATCAAAAAAAATTTGACTTGTATCGGGATGTAATCGCATGTAATTTGTACATACATACAATGTGTATATATATATAATAATAAGTTAAAATATATGTCAGAGAAAAAATGTTGTTCATCTCTTTTTTGAAGGTGTATTGGCTCCTGGAGAGAAACTCAAACTTCCCATCCTCTTTAAAGCAAATATTGGTGGAATTTTCTCTGAGTCCTGGAAACTAGTAACCCGTCCTTTGTTGTGTAGCGGTGCCGATATTGTAATCAACCTTAAAAGTGTGATTTCTGTTACAAAACTTCCAAACCAGGAACTCGACAAAGTGGAGGTATTTTCAAGTATTCTCTACTAAAATTAATTTTTTGTTATGTCAAACTTTTAGAATGAATCTTGACGATTCTACTTGCCAGTTCATGGAACACATTTTTCAGAACATATCTTAAGAAATTCATACTCGAATTAAACTATTTGCTGAAATCTGTTGGCAACTTCATAATTTGAAACACTTCATTACACTGTATTGGCCAGTTACAGAGTTACTTGCCAGTTACTGGGTCTGGTTTCTTAGCTCACCCATCAGATATTGGGCTGTTGAAAAATCACCTAGTGTCTGTCACTAAATAGGCTGACATTTTGGATTTTGAGAATAAATTTTCATTTTTGATATATGTTGAGGAGGAATGCATGGAACTTTTTTAAATATCGTATGAAGGTTCAGCTTGACCCTACTTGTACCCTGTTGGTTTTTGGACTGATTGGAAAAACAAAAATTGCCCATCTAGGATTTATTAACGGAAATTCTAAAATATGTACAGGAAGAGCAAATGAGGGGAAAAAGAGAAAAGAAGCTTTTGAATAACAAATATATATTAAACAGTGGTGGGAATCAATTCTTTTGATAGGGATCAGGATATACATACTGGTAAGTTCTAGTGCACATTTATCTGTTTATTACCTATATATACCTACATGTCTAAATATATACTGTTTTAGAAATGCCTTGACCGTTGGAATTGTCTTTTCAGAAATGCCTTACTCACAGGAATGCCTTAACCATCGCCTCCGAGTTGATTGAAGATATTTTTCACATAGTGAAAACTCCCTTGTCTCCCTTGTCTCCAGAAATAGAACACGTTTCCCAGGAGCAAGAGTTCCAACAGCGTTTCCCAGGGGTAACAAGTTCAATCCTTTCAAAAGGCTTTCATATTTGATGAAATAACTATCCTTAACTCACTTTTAAAGTCACATGAATCAAACCTGGTAAAATTTTTGATCAGCTAGTCCCTGGGTCAGGGTGTTATGTCAGTAGTATGTTGGAACAGAATGCTACAAGTTTGACCAAATTTTTAGGTCACCAATGTTAAGCGTGTTGGTATCTTTGAACAACTTCTTAATAACCAGGAGGCCCTGTACTATGCCAGGGCCAGAAGCGTGCTGAGATAGAGTACTACCAGATTATACCAATTACTTATTTCTCTTAAGTTTACTCTGTTTAAGCTTCACAATAGGTAAGCAATAAGGCCCTTTTGGCCTCTTGTTTTTAGGAAAAAAAAATCACAACTAAGTAAATCTTCACTACATTAACTTAATGACTGACAATGTTACAGTGATCTATGAGGCTTTAATTGAACATTTCAAACGGCCACCAAAATTGAAGTGATTTCCTTCCAGATGATCTATCATTCTGGTAAAGCTATGGAAATGGAGACATTTTACAACACCATTCTTACCTCCATACCAAGAGAGTTCCCTCGTCAGGAATGCTCCTCGGTAGCTGTTAAACAGGTGAATATAACCCAACCATACAGAGCAATGAAGTCATGAGGTATTATTATCTGTCTGTCCTGTCTGATCAAATTGTGATCAGATTGTCAGTCTGTCTGTCCATCTGTCATGTGGAAGGGTATACTGTGATGTGACTGTCCATCTCTCCAGTATAGAGGTATACTGTGTTCTGATTGTCTGTCCTGTATGTTCAAACTGTGATCTGATTGTCTGCCTGTCTGTCCTGTTTAGCTATATACAGGACAGACAGACAGACAAAAATCAGTCAACAGTATAGCTTTATACAGGACAGACAGACAGACAATCTGACCACAGTATAGCTATATACAGGACAGACAGACAGACTATATGATCACAATATAGCTATATACAGAACAGACAGACAGACAATAAGACAACAGTATAGCTATATACAGGACAGACAATCAGACAACAGTATAGCTATATACAGGACAGACAGACAGGCAGACAGACAATCTGAAAACAGTATAGCTATATACAGGACAGACAGACAGACAACAGTATAGCTATATACAAGACAGACAGACTGACAATCAGACCACAGTATAGCTATATACAGAACAGACAGACAGACTATAAGACAGACAATCAGACAACAGTATAGCTATATACAGGACAGACAGACAATCAGAAAACAGTATAGCTATATACAGGACAGACAGACAATCAGACAACAGTATAGCTATATACAGGACGACAGACAATCAGAAAACAGTATAGCTATATACAGGACAGACAGACAGACAGACAATAAGACAACAGTACAGCAAAATACAGGACAGACAGACAGACAACAGTAAAACTATATACAGGACAGACAATCAGACTACAGTATAGCAATATATAAGACAGACAGACAGACAATGATATCACAATATAGCTATATACAGGACAGACAGACAGACAGACAAAAAGATCACAATATAGCTATATACAGGACAGACAGACATATAATAATATCACAATATAGCTATGTACAGGACAGACAGATAATAATATCACAATATAGCTATGTACAGGACAGACAGACAGATAATAGGACAACAGTATAGCTATATACAGGATAGACAATCAGACTACAGTAAAGCTATATACAGGACAGACAGACAGACAATCAGACTACAGGTCAGCAATATACAGGACAGACAGGCAGACAATAAGATCACAATATAGCTATGTACAGGATAGACAGACAGACAGACAATCAGACAACAGTATAGCTATATACTGGACAGACAGACAGACAGACAGACAGACAGACAATATGATCACAATATACCCCAATACCAGACAGATGGACAGTCAGATCTCACTGATGGATTTAGTGTGTAAAATTCATCAATGAATTCAAGAACCAATGAAAATACATTTTTTCAAATAAAACTATAAAATCTTAGCCAATCAAAAGTATATAGTTTTAAAAATCATCAATCTTTAATCTCGTCTGTTAACAGGCTTTGGGTGAGCTGATCAGCCTGGACCCAACCAATGTGGAGGATGAGGAGAAATGTTGGGAAGAGACCTGTTACAAGTATTCATGTCTCAATACCTTCGACCATCTGTGTTCTTCCCTCCTCTTCACCTGGCCTACCCCTGTGTATAGTCAGCCCTGGGAGAGATATAAAATAGGGTAAGTCTACCCCTGTCTATAGACTGTACTGGGAGAGATATAAAATAGGGTGTGTCTACCCCTGTCTATAGTCAGTACTGGGAGAGATATAAAATAGGGTGTGTCTACCCCTGTCTATAGTCAGTACTGGGAGAGATATAAAATAGGGTGTGTCTACCCCTGTCTATAGTCTGTACTGGGAGAGATATAAAATAGGGTGTGTCTACCGCTGTCTATAGTCAGTACTGGGAGAGATATAAAATAGGGTGTGTCTACCGCTGTCTATAGTCAGTACTGGGAGAGATATAAAATAGGGTGTGTCTACCCCTGTCTATAGTCAGTACTGGGAGAGATATAAAATAGGGTAAGTCCACCCCTGTCTATATACTGGGAGAGATATAAAATAGGGTAAGTCTACCCCTGTCTATAGTCAGTACTGGGAGAGATATAAAATAGGGTGTGTCTACCCCTGTCTATAGTCTGTACTGGGAGAGATATAAAATAGGGTAAGTCTACCCCTGTCTATATACTGGGAGAGATATAAAATAGGGTGTGTCTACCCCTGTCTATAGTCTGTACTGGGAGAGATATAAAATAGGGTAAGTCTACCCCTGTCTATATACTGGGAGAGATATAAAATAGGGTAAGTCTACCCCTGTCTATATACTGGGAGTTATAGAATTATGTGGGTCTTATGAACAGTAATTGTAAGTATTTTATGAGAAATTGATGTGCAGTATGTATTTACATGGTTCATGGATTAAGTCCAGAAACTCTTAATTTGTATTATCGTTGTATAATAAATATTTCTGATTCTCGTTTTTGGTCTGACAGACTATCAACCCTACAGGGTGCAGTAGACAGGTTCATGGACATGACATTTAGGACAGCTAGATTGCTGGGTCTGCCTCTCCGGGTCGATGAGGAGGAGGAAGCACTGGACAAAGCAGGTCAGGGTCACTCACAAGCTTTAATTATATGTATTAAACAAATCATACATATCTACTTTAAACTTCACCCAGAACATCACAACATCAAGTTCTCATTCTGTGTAGGAGTGGGTATTATCATTGTTCTGTAGTTGTTTTCCTTATTTTATTTTGCTCAAGTGTTTTTGTCAACTGATCCCAGTACATTAGACAGGGCTAATGGATCCTTGTATGGACTAATTGTACGTTAGACAGGGCTAATGGATCCTTGTATGGACTAATTGTACGTTAGGCATGGCTAATGGATCCTTGTATGGACTAATTGTGCGTTAGGCATGGCTAATGGATCCTTGTATGGACTGATTGTACGTTAGGCATGGCTAATGGATCCTTGTATGGACTGATTGTACGTTAGGCATAGCTAATGGATCCTTGTATGGACTGATTGTACGTTAGACAGGGCTAATGGATCCTTGTATGGACTGATTGTATGTTAGACAGGGCTAATGGATCCTTGTATGGACTGATTGTACGTTAGGCATGGCTAATGGATCCTTGTATGGGCTGATTGTATGTTAGGCATGGCTAATGGATCCTTGTATGGACTGATTGTATGTTAGGCATGGCTAATGGATCCTTGTATGGGCTGATTGTACGTTAGACAGGGCTAATGGATCCTTGTATGGACTGATTGTATGTTAGGCATGGCTAATGGATCCTTGTATGGGCTGATTGTACGTTAGGCATGGCTAATGGATCCTTGTATGGACTAATTGTACGTTAGGCATAGCTAATGGATCCTTGTATGGACTGATTGTACGTTAGGCATGGCTAATGGATCCTTGTATGGACTGATTGAGTCTGTTATATTGGATACATTTTGTGACATTTCAGTGTGATAGCTTTTGAAAATGTCAACCAACATCTTAAGGCAATGCTACATGTGACTTTAGATTTAGTTTATGTATGGTTTAAATTATATGTTTTGAATGTATTCTCTTCTCTGTTAACAGCCAGAAAAGCACCTCCAAAGAAAAGTCTGTCTGTGAAACCAAAGAAAAAAGAAGTAAGTATTCCTTGAATTATCAGATTGTTGTTACAAGTAAGATAGATACAAAACCAGTTAAACAATGTTAGACCAGTGGTTATACACGGCACAACTTCATCAGTCACATTATACTGATGACAAACCAGTCATTACATTATCACAATGCTGAGTATATGAGTAACTCAGGTTTTTAAAGATTCTGGTATCAGGGGAGATAACTCAACGTGCCTTCCTTAATTATAGAAATGAATGCTCAATGCAAAACTGAGGCAGTGAAAAGGGAGACATAACAAAAATAATTGTTACAAGTAAAGAGAACATTGGCTTATTACGATCATTAAATATGGACAGGTATTGTAGCTCTGATTTCCAGGGTTCTCATTGTTATACAACTTATTGTAATTGTCTTTATATGTCTGTAAAGGTCACTTGCTTTCATTCATGGTGCCTTACTACTTGCAGTAATTTAACCTTTCTAAAAAGGCCATTTGTAATGGTCCTGATCTTATACAATTCATGGTAATTGAACCTCTGTATTAAGGTCACCTGTCTTTAAAGGTCATTTGTAATGGTTGTGATCTTATACAATTCATGGTAATTGAACCTCTGTATTAAGGTCACCTGTCTCTAAAGGTCATTTGTAATGGTTGTGATCTTATACAATTCATGGTAATTGAACCTCTGTATAAAGGTCACCTGTCTCTAAAGGTCATTTGTAATGGTTGTGATCTTTAACTATTCATAGTAATTGAGACCTCTATATGAAGACCATCTGCAGATATAGGTAATTATTTTCTGTGATTAATGGTTTTTATAGACAGAATATAATTTTTGAATGTTATCAATGTAAGACCTTTAGTAAACAATTTCAGACTGAAAAGGCAGTGGTGAACAACCTGGCACCAGGTGGTCAATCTAAAGATGACAAGTTGAAGTCCTCCCCTTCCAACAAAGGACGACCTAAGACCTGCAGTCCTGAATCTAACCCAGATCCTGGCGACAAAGCCCCAGACAGCTTCATTCCTGTTGTTGTGTCAAAAGTGTGTAAAAGTGACATGGAAAAATACAGGGAACGTGTTCACCTCCAGGTAAAATAAATCATTCTGAAGAAATCAGGAATCAAGGAATCTCATTTCTTAATTCCTTCAGGTGCTGTTACTTACATAGTTGTTTAGAGCATGTAGTGATTTATAGGAAATTATCAAGGGATGGACAGATGGTAGATGGAGAGACGATAGACAATGGATGTTGTACCATGCCATACACTTGGTCCTATAGACCAGGTGAAGTAATCAAGACTAGGTTTTAAAAGCAAGGTCTTGATAAAACCCTGTATAAGCATAGATCTTGACGGCATTTAGAAATTCCTGGAATCACCTGTTTGTAAGAATTATTTGAACTTTTTTTTTATGTCAATAAAGTAAAATTTTCTCATAGAAATACAAGTTACTATTCTAAAATGGAACTTATTTTTGTCACACTGAAATTTCAGTGCATTATCACTTTTTCGCAAATTTAGCAAAATGACAATTTTGTGCATCATTAATGATTGATCTAGTATATAGAATAACATAAAAGATTTGCTATCATACCTTACCTACCCCTGACTTTCCTCCACAGCTTAGTTAAGGGGAGGTGGAGGGTGTATACTGAAATCAGGTTTGTCCATCTGTCTGTTGTAGATGTGCGTAATCTATATAGATTGAGTTTCCTCCCCTTTTTGGAAAAAGTTATACTATGTGGGATCTCTGTGTTGGCGGTGAGGGAGGAGGAGGTGGTTGGGGGGGGGGGGCCTTTTTGAGGGAGGAGGGGGTGGTGGTGGGGGGGGTGATTTGCTATCATACCTTACCTACCCCTGACTTCCCTCCACAGCTTAGTTAAGGGGAGGTGGAGGGTGTATACTGAAATCAGGTTGTCTGTCCATCTGTCTGTTGTAGATGTGTGTAATCTATATAGATTGAGTTTCCTCCCCTTTTTGGAAAAAGTTATACTATGTGGGATCTCTGTGTTGGCGGTGAGGGAGGAGGAGGTGGTTGGGGGGAGGGCCTTTTTGAGGGAGGAGGGGGTGGTGGTGGGGGGGGGGGTGATTGAGGGAGGAGGGGGTGGTGGTTGAGGGAGGAGGAGGGGGTGGTGGTGGGGGGATGGTGGTTGAGGGAGGAGGAGGGGTGTGTGTGTTATGAGTTGTCCCCTTGATGACAGTTTTAGTTAGTTCAGTCATACTTTGGAGCAGTTTTTTCGGCATTGAAATCTCAGTAGTTTGTTAACTACTGTGATATGTATACAGGTGATTTACAACGCATGGAATTTCTTATTGAAATTGAGAAAAGAATATAGGATTTGATGTTTGAATCTATCTACATTTCAGGCCTACCTTATACTGGAATCAGCTATTGATGAAATGTTTCGATTATTTGAGGACTAAACTGATTGAAGATTGAATCTACAGCAGGCTAGGTATTCATTAACTGTGTAATATACTGGAGTTGGATGGACTTAACGCTACTGGAACTCGTGTACAGCTGTCTGCATTTGTAGAAACTGGATTGATTTATGACTTGACATTAAAAATATCATGAATGAAAGTTAATTATCAATAATGAAAAAAAAGTCCAAATTGTTTGAAAATAAAAATTAACATTAAGATTGAAAATATGTTTTATTGAGAAAAAAAAGCCATAATATAACTTATGGAAAAAATAAAGATTCCTGTAAAAGCTCAGCAAAAAGTGGATTTCAAATGTTAAGGCTTTGATTGAAAAATTTGAGAAAAAAACTACAATGAGCTGTATTTTTGGAACAAAAATTTCTCTATTATAAAACTTTTATTGATTATTAACATGTTAGAACATATTAGGATTGATAAAAAATCTGTACTGAAAGTTTCTGTGTATCGTACTGTACTGAAAGTTTCTGTGTATCATACTGTACTGAAAGTTTCTGTGTATCGTACTGTCAATTTAAAAATGATAAATTACAAGATTTACATGGCTTTGTAGATAATTTTACATATAATATTGAAATGTTACAACAGTTTTGGTATATCCTGGTATGTGTATATCTATAGTTTGTGTTTTGTAAAGGGAGATAATCCAAGTGAAACTCATAACTCTCTATAGGCTGTGTTATATTTTTTGTTGTGAAGGGAGACAATTTGAGGGAACCTTCAACAATCTAGTATGATCTGCATAATTTACAAGAAATTGAGTAGTTACATTCCCACAATATTTACTGTTATATATATCACTATATTTATACAATACCTGTATGTATTACATATTTACAACATATTCTATTGGGGTTGCTTGTTTAAGACGTCTACATCATTAAAACTTTTACATGTTTTCATATAGAAATTTTTAAGCTATTTTTATACTATATATTTTATATAATTGTGTTGAGAAAAAATATATTAATTATTACAACAACAGATCTGTAATTAAGTTCCGAATCTTTGAGACATAACATTCATGATAGATAAACATAATCAAAACTGTAACATACAATTTATATAAACCCTAGAGTCAGTAGCTTCTTAACTTTAAACAACAGAACTATTTCTGTTAGAGTTCATACTAATCTAAATGTGTTTTTTTATTGTACATGATCATGAAACTTTTTGTCTATTTCCTCAAAAGATATCTTGTGCCAAATTATTAAATAAAATGGCATGAAACATTCCTGAGTATGTTTGTTGATTTTTATGTCAACTACTAAAAGAAGAATTACTGGGTACATTTGAGTTAACATTTTATAAAGCTAATATTCTGTTGTCCTGGTTTACTCACAGATATCATTTAAGTGTCCAGCATTGGAAATACAGAAGCCCTCTTACAGTTATTACAATGTCTGTCAGTCAGCCTGTCTGTCTAAACATATGTCTGTCAGTCTGTCTGTCTAAACATCTGTCAGTCAGCCTGTCTGTCTAAACTATGTCTGTCAGTCAGTCTGTCTAAACATCTGTCAGTTAGCCTGTCTGTCTAAACATATGTCTGTCAGTCAGCCTGTCTGTCTAAACATATGTCTGTCAGTCTGTCTGTCTAGACATCTGTCTGTCAGCCTGTCTAAACATCTGTCTGTCAGTCAGTCTGTCTGTCTGGACATCTGACTGTCAGTCTGTCTGTCTGGACATCTGTCTGTCAGTCAGTCTGTCTGTCAGTCAGTCTGTCTGTCTGGACATCTGTTTGTCAGTCTGTCTGTCTGTCTGGACATCTGTCTGTCAGTCTGTCTGTCTAGACATCTGTCAGTCTGTCTAGATAGTATCATTTCCAGAGATTTCATATGCACCTCCGTAGGCAAAATTGTATGAAATTTCACATAATTAAACACTGTGATAAGTGTAGATGTGTAATTGGCATTTAAATTGGTCTAAGATCTGCAAGGTCAAATATTTTTGTCTATACAGCGAATAATTATAAATTGAAGAACTGTTATACAGCAGGAGATATAAGAGATAAAAAATGGTGGCCATCACACGTCACTATTAATTACAACTTTGTTCTTAGTTAATACCATTAAGTTAAGTGTCAATGATGAAAATCTGTGAAATGGTAACTTATTCTACAGACATGTTGCTCAAAATTGATCAGAGTGAATTTTTGCATCAAAGTTGAAATCCTTGTTTCCCACACTTAGGCATTGTAAAACTATAGAAGAAATGGTTTGACATGGTTTGCACATCATTTTTTTTTTTTTTTTTACATTTTCTGGTATGTGTTTTCTCTGTGCTGTACAAACTGTGGTAACATTTCCGTTATTATTTATTTAAAGGGAAATTTTATTGATTTCATGAGAAATCTGTCTTTCTCTTCCTCTCTATCTATCCAGATGAATGCATATCTCTATATGTATATCTCTGTCTATATGCCTGTGTCTTTCAGTTTGTGTATCCGACTCTCACAGACGGATTCTTTTCCATGTATATAAATACTATCATTTTAAAAGTCATTGTGGCCTTATAAAGCCGAAATATCTAAAAGCACTTATTTAAATATAACAGGGTCATCTAACTAACTCTTTATAATACCTTATATCAAAAATGTTATTACAAGCTTATACTTCCAAAGGCAGACAGAATGTCATTTAAATCTTCATTAATGGCACAGTTTACCATCAATTTAATGTATTATGGTCTCACACATACAGCATGGGAGATGATCATGAGTCGGGCATCTCGTCAAAAAACTTAAAAGTTGGATAAGTAAAATAAAATCAATGCTGAGGATGTAATGTAAAGACAGAGTGAAGAATGAGAAAATGTAAAGGTGTCATTATTTTATTACACAGCATTTGTAATATCAGCAGCTTGGTGTGTTTAAATATACAAAAATATACATTAACCAACATCACGCGTCATAATTCAATATTATACAACAGATTTCTACAATAAAGATATGACAATATGTAAAATACACACATTCTAAAACATAACAGGAATATGTATATAAATTATGGCAAAGTTAAGGTGACTATTAATCATAATTATCACATAGTTTCTTTTTTATCACAGTTTTACAAAACCAAGAGACATATTGGGCCTGTAATGTTAAAAGATTGCCCTTGAGATGGATGATCAATCACTGACGTTAATGCAGATAATAAAGCCCTTGGCCAATTTTCACATGGGGACTTGACACATCCTTGTAATAGATCAGTACAATAAGATACAGAATATGTCCCAATACTACAGGTCACAGATAGCTTACAAGGTTACAAAACATATACATATATGTACTTTCATTATTTTATAGTTAAATTTATTGCGGTTGGTTTTACTAAAATTTATATTTCTAAAAATAATCAATCCTATTTCATGGTTTTTTTATAAAAACACTACTGACTCCAACTACTTTTAGTGAGAACAACATGATTTGTTTACTTTTCATTACAAAAGAAGGAGATACAAACATTATAATGATAAACCCACATTTCCTTTAAGCACATGTAATGGAAGACATGTAGAAAGACAGCTACATATATCTGTCATATTTACTTATGTACATCATATAACCTTGACTGATTCATCAACACACAAAAGTGCCTGATGTACTTATAGGAGGGGATTATTCTTCCTTGTCAATCTTTTTTTTTGTGTTACGGAGTGAGAGGAGGATTTTTTTTTTAATTGGGTCAGAAAAAATCAGTCCCCTCTTCCTCCATCAATCCTTATTTATTTTTCAATCCTGTTGTTATTGTTTCTGATGAAGATTTGTAAAATATAAACCATCAGGGTATTAGGTTTAAAGTTCCTGATACACAGGAAGGATATAGTAGTGATCTGAAGGACAAGGCTGTAGAAGCTATCAATCTTGAATGTATGAATATGAATGGTAAATCTTGGCTCTCCAATGAAAACAAAATTCATCTGTGTTACATTATAATTATGTCTTTTTATACACTGTAATGCCATTCTAACAAAAAAAAAAAAACAACAAAAAAAAAAAAAAAAATAAAATAAAACTTTTATATTATAAATAATAAATAATACTATTTTTGACAATTTCCTGATGTAGAGTTAAACTTTCCATAAAATGCTGTGATTTAATCGTTCAATGTCACATAAGTCATTGTTTAGACCAATGTCTCCGTAAGGTATATAACACAGAACCTCTAATTTACTTGACCTAACTTTTAGAGCAAAGTTTTCCCTAGCCAAGTGGTATTGCAGCCAGTATTTGCTAGGGCCTCCACTTACAAAAACATAGGATTCCAAAATATATTCTGTTGGGAGATACATTGACATTTCATGAATGAAGGACATTTTGATGTACCTGGCACATCCTTGTGACAGATCAGTACAATACGATACAGAATATGTCCTGTTGGTTGTACTAAAGTAGATACGTTATTGTAATCTTTACTTTTGTAACATGCCCCTATGACAAAGATGTGATGTCGATTGATGATAAATCAGGAAACCTACCCTATACTCATCAGCCTGTCTTATTTATTATACAAATATCTTCCTGCAATATAAATGGAATATTTTTTCTGTCGATGTCCCTATAACATCACTGTTTTTCTTTAAACAATGATGAAATTGAAAACATTTACTTATCATTCTTGGGATTCTTTTATCCATATGGAATTAAATAATTTGGTATGTTAATAGCCACTAATCAATTCCACATTGCATCAACACAAATTTAAGATTATATTTATCATATAACTCACATTTCTGCAATAGGTGATTTCCCTGTCAGACTTATTTTGACATGGATAATACGTTCCTCACTATTTAAACAGATATTTGATGTCATCAAGACATGACTCAATTATGACATCACAATATTGTTATTACACATGTCATTTTCAATATCTATGACATGGTCGTATGACATGACAAAATAGGCTAGTTATGTGATGAATACTTTAGTTATACAACTGAGATAATCTCTCTGTCCTGATTGCCTTTCAGGTCTCCACTAGGTTTTGACAAAATGCAATGATAACCTAAAACCTGAGTTTTTTTTCATGTAAAACCAATTTTCATGATGTAATACTTGTCATAACGTTATCATGCAAATATGGTACCATACTAAAGTTATGGTAATTATTACTGAAATGAAATGGCAAATTCCTTTACAAAAACTTAACTTCAGAAATTCATAACCTAGTTTAAAGATAGAAACTGGGATTTTTTCCAGATGTCTAGAACTTAAGTTGCACACAGTGTCAAGGAAGCCAATTAGCCTCTTGTTTAACAAGTCTACTTTTATCTTTTTTTTACAACTTGCATCTTAAATACCATGTCATACAACCAAACAGCTATTTTATTCAGGTTAATAGAAGGATTTGTCAATCTGAGAAATGTGATATTCTCCAAGGCCACACAAAAAAATAAATGATTTTATAATATTGAATATAGATGAAAAAGCATGAGAAGGCGGTACACTGAGGCCTCCAATGTATCACTGAAACTCTCTGACTTCAACTAATTCTAAGTACTTCACCAAGGAAGATAAACATGTGTGACACTTTATCATCTCAGTAGACATATAGATCAAGACTTCCCCATGACAATGAGTCTAGTTTTCTATATATATCTATATAAATGGCCTATTGTTCTCTCACCAGCGGGATTATATGTATCTGTCTGCCCATCTTCTGACTTCCTTCCTGTTTCTCACTTCCTCCTACAGTAAATAGTAACTATGTACACAACCTTATACATGTAAGTACCATAACTGTACTCTGTTCAATCACAAACCCTGCTCTTTTTGTCCAGCCTAAATAAAACAAAATTAGAACTCTTAGGATGCAATTACTAAAAATAGCATCTATCCTAAGAGACTTCTTTTTCTTTGGCTCAAATTTAGGGGTGGGCTTATCATAGGAAAAAGAAATAACATTAGCTGGCATTTCATCTGAAACTCCATTCAAATACACCATTGTAGGTCAGTCCTAATCATTACCAAATATGGACTTATTTCACTATAAAGAGAGGATTTCCATGGCCTGTAGTAACCTACTGTTTGTAAAACTGGTTTAATTTTCTTAAAATAACATTGTATGTAACACGTTTAGTGTCGACAGTGATGGAAATTGGAATGTACATCTCACTTCAGATTACTGTTGATAATATATATGTACCCGTTTATGCGGAAATCTTATGTTAGCTCTTTTGCACTAAAAATATTGTGCTAAAATATGATTGTACTAATTGCCGTTCCTGTATGTTGTTTATACAGTAATTATTGCTGATACACAAATTCATCCTGGAGCGAAATTGTCCAAATTTTCACAATAGAATTAAAACACTGTTATCCTTTCCACTACAGACATGGAATCGCAACGCCAAGCCACCATCACGGCACCTTATACAAACAGTATATGTTGCAATTATTTAAGTGGTCAAGAATTCCTGGTCATTAGCAGGCATTTCAAGTATCAAATATGCTTCCTTAAATGATCAACAGCTCAGAATTATCCACACATCTGGACGGACAATAAAATACAGAGTTGTCTGACAAGTTCCTCTGGGACAACAATTATGACTAGGACATATCTGAGACGGACACTGAGGTTCGTCGAGATCCTGGTTTCCTTCCCCCAACTTTGAGTGATTTGTTGAGTGCCTTAGGCGGAGATTTGAGAGCGTGTTGTCCAAGCTGAAGCCCTATATTCTGTAGACTTGTGCGGCCTGCTCCTCCTCCAACACCAAGTTTTCCTTTCAGTCCACCACCCTGAAAGCAGAATAAATGCTGATCAGAAACTAATTTACTTATTCATGTAAAACAGATATCTCCTGGGAGATAACTATTGTTCTTATCAATGGTTAAATTTTGAGTTTTACCAAACACACGTGTAAATAGTTCATTTTCATGGAAAGCATGAAATCAATTTTTCTCTTTATCAGTCACATTTTTAATGTCTTTTATTTCCACAATTTTATTTTGTCCACAAAAACAGTAAAAAGTAAAAACCCACAAAATTTTGAGTATATAGTCAACATGATTTCCATTTAATGATTAAACAAGTCAATACAACACACTTTGACAGTGGTGAAGTTATCTCCCCTAGCTGTACTCAAAGATGTGTTAGAATGTTTACTTGTCAGGAGGTATACTGGGTTCAAATATGATCACATCCAAGTAACAGTAAAATGCTATAAACATACTATAACAGGAATTTTATGATAGCACTTTCCAGTACACTAAAATTTTATCATACCAGATACCCATTTCTGTGGGTGGACCCTATAAGTCCAATCTCAGTGTAAACACCCTAAGTGTAAACACCCCTTTGTGGGTGGACCCTATAGGTCAAATCTCAGTGTAAACACCCCCAGCTCTGTTGGTGGACCCTAAAGGTCCAATCTCAGTGTAAACACCCCTTATCTTTGTGGGTGGACCCTACAGGTCCAATCTCAGTGTAAACACCCCATCTCTGTGGGTGGACCCTACAGGTCCAATCTCAGTGTAAACCACCCCATCTCTGTGGGTGGACCCTATAGGTCCAATCTCAGTGTAAACCACCCCATCTCTGTGGGTGGACCCTACAGGTCCCATCTCAGTGTAAACACCCCTTTGTGGGTGGACCCTATAGGTCCAATCTCAGTGTAAACACCCCCAGCTCTGTTGGTGGACCCTACAGGTCCCATCTCAGTGTAAACACCCCTTTGTGGGTGGACCCTATAGGTCCCATCTCAGTGTAAACACCCCATCTTTGTGGGTGGACCCTACAGGTCCCATCTCAGTGTAAACACCCCATCTTTGTGGGTGGACCCTACAGGTCCCATCTCAGTGTAAACACCCCTTTGTGGGTGGACCCTACAGGTCCCATCTCAGTGTAAACACCCCCAGCTCTGTTGGTGGACCCTACAGGTCCCATCTCAGTGTAAACACCCCTTTGTGGGTGGACCCTACAGGTCCAATCTCAGTGTAAACACCCCTTTGTGGGTGGACCCTACAGGTCCAATCTCAGTGTAAACACCCCTTTGTGGGTGGACCCTATAGGTCCCATCTCAGTGTAAACACCCCTTTGTGGGTGGACCCTATAGGTCCAATCTCAGTGTAAACACCCCTTTGTGGGTGGACCCTACAGGTCCCATCTCAGTGTAAACACCCCTTTGTGGGTGGACCCTATAGGTCCAATCTCAGTGTAAACACCCCTTTGTGGGTGGACCCTATAGGTCCCATCTCAGTGTAAACACCCCTTTGTGGGTGGACCCTATAGGTCCAATCTCAGTGTAAACACCCCTTTGTGGGTGGACCCTATAGGTCCAATCTCAGTGTAAACACCCCTTTGTGGGTGGACCCTCTCTGACTTTCTTGTGAAATGTGAAGAAGCAATAAGTATCTACTTACCAGTTGTTGATTCAGTTGCATCTTGTGGTAACTTTTCATTTTTGCCTCAAAATCCAAAATGTATTTAGGGAAGATTTCTTTCTCTGGAACCGGCTGTTTTAGTGCTGTAATAGAGATAAAACATAGTGTTTACTGGGTAGTACATATCTGTTGTCAATAGAGATAAAACATAGTATTTACTGGGTGGTACATATCTGTTGTCAATAGAGATAAAACAGTATTTACTGGGTAGTACATATCTGTTGTCAATAGAGATAAAACTTGATATAACACATACTGATACATTATGTAAGTTAGGACAACAGAGAAATGAAGAGCATGAAGAGAGTATCTGGAAGACTTTGACCATGTTTTCTATAAAGTTGAGAATCTTCTCTGTAAACAAAATCAACAACAGTATAAATCTAATTTATATCTAAGTAATGTCACATTGTTAAGGTGAGAGCTGAGGTAGTTCATCCTATTTATCAGTAAATCTCATGAGGAATGATCCTGAACATTGGTGATCTTCATGTTTTATAGTCACAACAGAATTACCTTCAAGGGCAAGTTATCTCTATCTTGCCAAGGTAAAGATTGTACAAAAAACACACAAGTGATTAGCATTTTTATAATCTACAGGAAGACATGTACAAAAGAGCCAAACAATGAATTAAACTGCATCATACAGCTGTTTTGTCCTTCTAGGACTTGTCAGTGATGCTAAACTTCTGAAGCCTAGAAGGTGACGAAGGAAAATCTAAAGTGAACAAAAGAATAGACAAAATGAAGCCGGGCAGTGCAACAGCCCTATAATTAGATAAATTTGTACATTCTTCATACATCAAATAATTTTAGCATCAAGCACCGTACATGTGCATTTTTTGAACTGTGCCACTATTCAAGTGAATTAAAACGTGGCAAGGACACAGAACCCACAAGTAAGAAGTCAAGAATCTCTCCTCAGGATTTCTCTGTCCTACCATAAAGCTATCCTATCAATCTACTGGAAACTATATATGTTTACATTTCCTCAAACTTCACCTTAAATGGATGGAATGAGAGAGAACATTAAGTTTTAGTGTTCCTAGTAACAACTTATAAAGGGGTTGTTAGGATCAACTTTGACAGCAGTAACTGTTTACATAGTGAGTTGTACCATTACAACGCTAACAGGTCTGAACTTTTAGATTTCATTTTATCATCTGTCAACACAGTGGTGATATATATAGCTGGTAACTCACTATATAGAGCTGGCAATCCCTTATTGTACAGGGCAGATTGTCCTAATTAGACAGTCCCTTATTGTACAGGGCAGATTGTCCTAATTAGACAGTCCCTTATTGTAGGGGACAGATTGTCCTAATTAGACAGTCCCTTATTGTACAGGGCAGATTGTCCTTATTAGACAGTCCCTTATTGTACAGGGCAGATTGTCCTAATTAGACAGTCCCTTATTGTACAGGGCAGATTGTCCTTATTAGACAGTCCCTTATTGTACAGGGCAGATTGTCCTAATTAGACAGTCCCTTATTGTACAGGGCAGATTGTCCTAATTAGACAGTCCCTTATTGTACAGGGCAGCTTGTCCTAATTAGACAGTCCCTTATTGTACAGGGCAGATTGTCCTAATTAGACAGTCCCTTATTGTACAGGGCAGATTGTCCTAATAAGACAGTCCCTTATTGTACAGGGCAGATTGTCCTAATTAGACAGTCCCTTATTGTACAGGGCAGATTGTCCTAATTAGACAGTCCCTTATTGTACAGGGCAGATTGTCCTAATTAGACAGTCCCTTATTGTACAGGGCAGATTGTCCTAATAAGACAGTCCCTTATTGTAGGGGACAGATTGTCCTAATTAGACAGTCCCTTATTGTAGGGGACAGGTTGTCCTAATAAGACAGTCCCTTATTGTACAGGGCAGATTGTCCTAATTAGACAGTCCCTTATTGTACAGGGCAGATTGTCCTAATTAGACAGTCCCTTATTGTACAGGACAGATTGTCCTAATTAGACAGTCCCTTATTGTACAGGGCAGATTGTCCTAATTAGACAGTCCCTTATTGTACAGGGCAGATTGTCCTAATTAGACAGTCCCTTATTGTACAGGGCAGATTGTCCTAATTAGACAGTCCCTTATTGTAGGGGACAGATTGTCCTAATTAGACAGTCCCTTATTGTACAGGGCAGATTGTCCTAATTAGACAGTCCCTTATTGTACAGGGCAGATTGTCCTAATTAGACAGTCCCTTATTGTACAGGGCAGATTGTCCTAATAAGACAGTCCCTTATTGTACAGGACAGATTGTCCTAATTAGACAGTCCCTTATTGTAGGGGACAGATTGTCCTAATTAGACAGTCCCTTATTGTACAGGGCAGATTGTTCTAATTAGACAGTCCCTTATTGTACAGGGCAGATTGTCCTAATTAGACAGTCCCTTATTGTACAGGGCAGATTGTCCTAATTAGACAGTCCCTTATTGTACAGGGCAGATTGTCCTAATTAGACAGTCCCTTATTGTACAGGGCAGATTGTCCTAATTAGACAGTCCCTTATTGTACAGGGCAGATTGTCCTAATTAGACAGTCCCTTATTGTACAGGGCAGATTGTCCTAATTAGACAGTCCCTTATTGTACAGGGCAGATTGTCCTAATTAGACAGTCCCTTATTGTACAGGGCAGATTGTCCTAATTAGACAGTCCCTTATTGTACAGGGCAGATTGTCCTAATTAGACAGTCCCTTATTGTACAGGGCAGATTGTCCTAATAAGACAGTCCCTTATTGTACAGGGCAGATTGTCCTAATTAGACAGTCCCTTATTGTACAGGGCAGATTGTCCTAATAAGACAGTCCCTTATTGTACAGGGCAGATTGTCCTAATAACACAGTCCCTTATTGTAATTGGGACAGATTGTCCTAATTAGACAGTCCCTTATTGTACAGGGCAGATTGTCCTAATAAGACAGTCCCTTATTGTACAGTCTCTGTCACTCAGCAGATTGATAAGACAGGTCAGTGTGACAGATTGTACATAGTGTTAAATACAGTCCCTTATTGTCACTCAGCTGACGGGTCAGTGTGACAGTCCCTTGTACATAGATTGTTAGTCCCTTAATACAGTCTAATTCTGTCACTCAGCTGACAGTCCCTTATTGGGTCAGTGTGAGTCCCTTATTGTACATAGTGTTAAGAAATACAGTCTCTGTCACTCAGCTAGGGGACAGACGACAGGTCAGTGTGACTTGTACATAGCTGTTAAATACAGTCTCTGTCACTCAGCTGACGGGTCAGTGGACTTGTACATAGTGTTAAATACAGTCTCTGTCACTCAGCTGACGGGTGTGACTTGTACATAGTGTTAAATACAGTCTCTGTCACTCAGCTGACGGGTCAGTGTGACTTGTACATAGTGTTAAATACAGTCTCTGTCACTCAGCTGACGGGTCAGTGTGACTTGTACATAGTGTTAAATACAGTCTCTGTCACTCAGCTGACGGGTCAGTGTGACTTGTACATAGTGTTAAATACAGTCTCTGTCACTCAGCTGACGGGTCAGTGTGACTTGTACATAGTGTTAAATACAGTCTCTGTCACTCAGCTGACGGGTCAGTGTGACTTGTACATAGTGTTAAATACAGTCTCTGTCACTCAGCTGACGGGTCAGTGTGGCTTGTACATAGTGTTAAATACAGTCTCTGTCACTCAGCTGATGGGTCAGTGTGGCTTGTACATAGTGTTAAATACAGTCTCTGTCACTCAGCTGACGGGTCAGTGTGACTTGTACATAGTGTTAAATACAGTCTCTGTCACTCAGCTGACGGGTCAGTGTGGCTTGTACATAGTGTTAAATACAATCTCTGTCACTCAGCTGGCGGGTCAGTGTGGCTTGTACATAGTGTTAAATACAGTCTCTGTCACAGTTTCAGGTTCAATAAGATTTGATGGAATCAAACAAAAAAGCAGATGCAGATGAATTCTTCAGGTTAAAATTTTCTGATCATTAATTGCATGGCAAAATTTTGGAAAACTTATACAGAAATTTTAAAAGTTAATTGATAATAAATTGTATATTGCACTTCAAAGAGAGCTGAGTAAAAAAGCACAAACAAAAGTTATCCCAACAGATGTATTATTGTAGATGTGTCATACTGTAACTCTCCAACAGATGTTTTATTGTAGATGTGTCATACTGTAACTCTCCAACAGATGTATTATTGTAGATGTGTCATACTGTAACTCTCCAACAGATGTTTTATTGTAGATGTGTCATACTGTAACTCTCCAACAGATGTATTATTGTAGTTGTGTACTGTAACTCTCCAACAGATGTTTTATTGTAGATGTGTCATACTGTAACTCTCCAACAGATGTATTATTGTAGATGTGTCATACTGTAACTCTCCAACAGATGTATTATTGTAGATGTGTCATGCTGTAACTCTCCAACAGATGTATTATTGTAGATGTGTCATACTGTAACTCTCCAACAGATGTTTTATTGTAGATGTGTCATACTGTAACTCTCCAACAGATGTATTATTGTAGTTGTGTACTGTAACTCTCCAACAGATGTTTTATTGTAGATGTGTCATACTGTAACTCTCCAACAGATGTATTATTGTAGATGTGTCATACTGTAACTCTCCAACAGATGTATTATTGTAGATGTGTCATGCTGTAACTCTCCAACAGATGTATTATTGTAGATGTGTCATACTGTAACTCTCCTACAGATGTATTATTGTAGATGTGTCATACTGTAACTCTCCAACAGATGTATTATTGTAGATGTGTCATACTGAAACTCTCCTACAGATGTTTTATTGTAGATGTGTCATACTGTCACTCTCCAACAGATGTATTATTGTAGATGTGTCATACTGTAACTCTCCAACAGATGTATTATTGTAGATGTGTCATACTGTAACTCTCCAACAGATGTATTATTGTAGATGTGTCATGCTGTAACTCTCCAACAGATGTATTATTGTAGATGTGTCATACTGTAACTCTCCAACAGATGTTTTATTGTAGATGTGTCATACTGTAACTCTCCTACAGATGTTTTATTGTAGATGTGTCATAGTGTAACTCTCCAACAGATGTATTATTGTAGATGTGTCATAGTGTAACTCTCCAACAGATGTATTATTGTAGATGTGTCATACTGTAACTCTCCAACAGATGTATTATTGTAGATGTGTCATACTGTAACTCTCCAACAGATGTATTATTGTAGATGTGTCATACTGTAACTCTCCAACAGATGTATTATTGTAGATGTGTCATACTGTAACTCTCCAACAGATGTATTATTGTAGATGTGTCATACTGTAACTCTCCAACAGATGTATTATTGTAGTTGTGTACTGTAACTCTCCAACAGATGTATAATGTAGATGTGTCATACTGTAACTCTCTAACAGATGTAATATTGTAGATGTGTCATACTGTAACTCTCCAACAGATATATTATTGTAGATGTGTCATGCTGTAACTCTCCAACAGATGTATTATTGTAGATGTGTCATACTGTAACTCTCCAACAGATGTATTATTGTAGATGTGTCATGCTGTAACTCTCCAACAGATGTATTATTGTAGATGTGTCATACTGTAACTCTCCAACAGATGTATTATTGTAGATGTGTCATGCTGTAACTCTCCAACAGATGTATTATTGTAGATGTGTCATACTGTAACTCTCCAACAGATGTATTATTGTAGATGTGTCATACTGTAACTCTCCAACAGATGTATTATTGTAGATGTGTCATACTGTAACTCTCCAACAGATGTATTATTGTAGATGTGTCATACTGTAACTCTCCAACAGATGTATTATTGTAGATGTGTCATACTGTAACTCTCCAACAGATGTATTATTGTAGATGTGTCATACTGTAACTCTCCAACAGATGTATTATTGTAGATGTGTCATACTGTAACTCTCCAACAGATGTATTATTGTAGATGTGTCATACTGTAACTCTCCAACAGATGTATTATTGTAGATGTGTCATACTGTAACTCTCCAACAGATGTATTATTGTAGATGTGTCATACTGTAACTCTCCAACAGATGTTTTATTGTAGATGTGCCATACTGTAACTCTCCAACAGATGTATAATGTAGATGTGTCATACTGTAACTCTCCAACAGATGTATTATTGTAGATGTGTCATACTGTAACTCTCCAACAGATGTATTATTGTAGTTGTGTACTGTAACTCTCCAACAGATGTATAATGTAGATGTGTCATACTGTAACTCTCTAACAGATGTAATATTGTAGATGTGTCATACTGTAACTCTCCAACAGATGTATTATTGTAGATGTGTCATGCTGTAACTCTCCAACAGATGTATTATTGTAGATGTGTCATACTGTAACTCTCCAACAGATGTATTATTGTAGATGTGTCATGCTGTAACTCTCCAACAGATGTATTATTGTAGATGTGTCATACTGTAACTCTCCAACAGATGTATTATTGTAGTTGTGTACTGTAACTCTCCAACAGATGTATAATGTAGATGTGTCATACTGTAACTCTCTAACAGATGTAATATTGTAGATGTGTCATACTGTAACTCTCCAACAGATGTATTATTGTAGATGTGTCATACTGTAACTCTCCAACAGATGTTTTATTGTAGATGTGTCATACTGTAACTCTCCAACAGATGTATTATTGTAGATGTGTCATACTGTAACTCTCCAACAGATGTATTATTGTAGATGTGTCATACTGTAACTCTCCAACAGATGTTTTATTGTAGTTGTGTACTGTAACTCTCCAACAGATGTATAATGTAGATGTGTCATACTGTAACTCTCCAACAGATGTATTATTGTAGTTGTGTACTGTAACTCTCCAACAGATGTATAATGTAGATGTGTCATACTGTAACTCTCTAACAGATGTAATATTGTAGATGTGTCATACTGTAACTCTCCAACAGATGTATTATTGTAGATGTGTCATGCTGTAACTCTCCAACAGATGTATTATTGTAGATGTGTACTGTGTAACTCCCAAACACTATAAAAAACATTTATTCTTCATGAAAGTATAGTAAACTTGAAGGGAAATTAGTTTTTGTTTCAGATATGGAAAAGAGAAAATACATTTAAAAAAAAAAGAATAAAAACGAGAACAGATAGGAAAGAGATGACAGGAATAGTTCCTTACAAATTGATCTTTTAAAGATATGTCTCCCTAAGGGTAAAAAATTCAAATCAAAAGAAATAATATAAATTACAAGTAATTAACAATATCATTGTAATATTGTGTATATCTTGTGAGACAATGTTTGTCAAACGGATGAAGGAAACTCAGACACTTTTTATAAATAATTTCATTCCAAGCACTTCATGGTTCATTAATTACTAATTAAAATATTAATATCATATCACAAATTATTCCGTTTCAAATTAAAATAAAAACAAATATTAAAAAACTTGAACACCTTGCTTGTTATTTCCCTAAATTCAGGTTATAAATGATATGTTAAATGACAGATGTACAATAAATTGAATCCATTAAAAGTGTATAGAAAAACATACACATTTGCCAAACATACACCAAAGAAAACTGTATTTTTTTTTTTTTTTTGTTTTTCTTTTTTAGATATTTTTTCAACCATAACTTTAGTAATACACATTTTAGAATAATTTCACTACAGAACAGTTCAGGTGATTAGGTTCTCAAACCTTGCTGGGGCAATGATTGATGGGCAAGCAGAATGGATTAAACCCATCCCCCAACCCGCCTAACCTAGTTGTGGGAATATCGCTCCCACATCGATGGTGAAGTTGAAGGATTAACGGCTAGGTGACATCACAGGAAAATCGCTCCTTTCTCCAGTCAGCCAGGTGTATCACACTATCAAACATGCGTCTCTTGTTGTTATCTTTCATAACTAAATGTTATTTGAAATCAAATGTTTCTAAATTGCAATTGATCTAACACTCTAAGTTTGATGGCTGTACATTATATACAGTGTAAGGAAGTGGTTACTTATTTTGACACCCCCTCCCAATTACAACCAGGATTGAATATTCTGTATTATTTTTGAAAACTTGCCTTTCTAAAGATGATCCTTATACAATGAATTATTCATTAGAAAAGAGATTTTATCTGAGTTTTGCTTCTTTCAATGTTATGGTCACAATAGACATTATAATGTTAACATTACAGACATCATGAGACCTCTTAAAGGTGTGAAAAGACTGCCATAGTTTTCTTATGGTTGAGAGAACTGACATAATATCTATGCACTTTTACCAATTTATTCTATCGCCAATCACCAGGACAACAACTATAGTAATATTTTCTGCTTCGCTGCAGGTTTGCAACAGATATAACTTTATGCAGTAATATATCTTTAGAAAACGGGTGTAACATTTCAGTCACCAAACGTTAGATTCGTATGTATGCCTTTGCCTTTTAATATCAATTAAATTGACTGAATAAATTTAATGCATTCTTGTCTACAAACCAGTATACAGTGTACTGTACACAGGAAACTACCCCTCTGTTTATCCAATTCTGGTATTACCACAAATAACAGAAGAATCAAATATTTCATATGGAAATCCACTTCATGTTTATAAAGACTCACATATCACACTCATCCAAACATTTAAATAAGAAATCTCATTTAACATGATAACTTGAAGAACAATCCGCTCCTTATTCTATTTGTCCTGTTCTGTCAAAAGTTGTTGTCATCGCAGTGATGTCCTGGTGGACTGATGTCTGAACCATGAACAGTAACTTAATTCCTGTCACCCTTCTTTCCCACAATGTTGCGGCGGATTAATCTATCTGTTTATTCTGCAAACCCACCGCGATCCCCCTACAATCCCGCCAAGACTACGAGTGACTGGTCAGCAAGTCGGTCACTCCAGCAGGGTCTGAGAGCCAAATCACCTTAACTTACTTCACCATAAATATACCATGTGTTAAGTTTAGAAAGTGATGGCACATCTTTTATGTTTGATTTTCTCAGTGAGTTGTTTCCCCTTAATTCTCTTTCGCAACAAGGAATTCAAATTTTGTGATGTTACCTTATTGCATTCTAATGATCTCTGTGAGTGAGGACAGTGTATACCACACTGTATATGATATACTGATGAAAATCATACATACTGTCAACAAGTGCAGGAAGTTTGGGGATGTTGATTGGATGATTGGCAGTCTGCGTCATGGTTACAACGTCAGGCTTAGACGGTGGGTCAAAGTCCAATAACACTTGTGTCTCCAGTGCCTAAAATAAATACAAAATAAATATTTTGTTGATTTTCACATAATTTGACAAGGTTTCAAATATAAATTCATAAGTTCCAATTCAGTGCATAACTTGTAATTGACACCAACAAAATGAACAGGACATGATGTTTTCTAAATTATAACTCATAAAGGCCATCTTTTTGTAAGGTCTGCTTGTCTATAAAGGCTATCTTTATGTAAAGTCTACCTGTCTATAAAGGCCATCTTTATGTAAGGTCTGCCTGTCTATAAAGGCCATCTTTATGTAAGGTCTGCTTGTCTATAAAGGCTATCTTTATGTAAAGTCTCCCTGTCTATAAAGGCCATCCTTATGTAAAGTCTACCTGTCTATTAAGGCCATCTTTATGTAAGGTCTGCTTGTCTATAAAGGCTATCTTTATGTAAAGTCTCCCTGTCTATAAAGGCCATCCTTATGTAAAGTCTACCTGTCTATTAAGGCCATCTTTATGTAAGGTCTGCTTGTCTATAAAGGCTATCTTTATGTAAAGTCTACCTGTCTATAAAGGCCATCTTTATGTAAGGTCTGCCTGTCTATAAAGGCCATCATTATGTAAGGTCTGCTTGTCTATGAAGGCTATCTTTATGTAAAGTCTCCCTGTCTATAAAGGCCATCCTTATGTAGAGTCTACCTGTCTATAAAGACCATCTTTATGTAAAGTCTACCTGTCTATAAAGGCCATCTTTATGTAAAGCCTACCTGTCTATAAAGGCCATCTTTATTTAAAGTCTGCTTTTCTATAAAGGTCATCTTTATGTAAAGTCTGCTTGTCTATAAAGGTCATCTTTATGTTAAGTCTATCCATCTATAAAGGTAATCTTTATGTAAAGTCTACCTGTCTATAAAGGCCAACTTTATGTAAAGTCTGCTTGTCTATAAAGGTCATCTTTATGTTAAGTCTATCCGTCTATAAAGGTCATCTTTATGTAAAGTCTACCTGTCTATAAAGGCCAACTTTATGTAAAGTCTACCTGTCTATAAAGGCCATCCTTAAGTAAAGTCTACCTGTCCATAAAGGCCATCTCTATATCAAGGCAATCAGGTGTTTATATAACCACCTCCATACAACAACATTCTGTCTATTAGTCCCTTATCTCCTAACTACGCATTTCTACGCATTGTGACGTCAGTGTTGGGGAAAGTCGTAATATCTTCCTTATTTCAGGAGGTCTACTGATTATATCTTATAAATTACGAAAAATGATGAACAACTTTCGCTCCTAGTAAATTTGGATTTGGTTAATATTCTTTGAAAATACCAGGCAGTATTTTTCCAAACACCTTGAATTGCATTGTGTTCACAGGGACGAAAATGTCCATTCACAGGTCTGGTTTGTATTCCACATATTTGTTCATAAAGAACGAGACATTTCACTCGAATGTCAATACATGGATACCTAATATCCAAAATCTTATGCCTGTGCGTGCCTCCATTTACGATTGTTGCTGAATCAAAGTCAGAAAATCCTTTAGAAGTTTCTGTGAGATGACACATTTACAATACAATGTATGTCCCCTTCAGACTACACACCGAGCCTTTGAATTAACATACACCTGCATTCTTCCTGTGATGTGACGTCAGAAAAAGCATTAAATAAAATACATTGTTTAATTGAATAAACAACATTTCCTTATAAAGTCCATTAATTGCAAACTTGTAGTAAAGAGGTGACGCTTATGAATAAATTTGTGAACGAACAGAAGAAACATGAATAAAAAAATAACAGAATAATGCATCCTATTTATGTAGATAGTTATATACAATATGTAATGATAAAACACGACGAAAAATTGTAATTTTCTTCACATCAGTTTCCAGTCTGCAATGATAGTCGTGTGTAAGACAGTGATGGCACCATCGAGATTAAGCTAATTAGAAAAAACAGGCTTCAGTGAAATCATGAATCATGCAATTCAAAATGTTGATCAACTTGCATTCACTTTTAAGTAAATCCTCTGTTAAGTCAGCAAATGCAGGCATTCCTTAAGGCTCTGTTCTAGACCCTTTACCATTTATGCTCTATGTTAATAACATGACGGACAACTTGGTAAGTTTATCTAAACTCTTCACAGATGACACTTCACTTCTATGTGTGGACCACACCCTCAAGTAATTGAACAGAATATCAATAATGATCTTGTAGAAATTCAAATATGGGCTGAAAATTTGTCGGTTAAATTTAATCCAGCAAGAAAAAAGAGGCGTTGCTTATTTTTAATAAAGACTTATTTCATTGATTTATTTTTGATAATACCAGTATCGATTATGTTGACGTTATTATTCGTAAAACATGATTTTTGTCAAAAGATTGGAAAGCTTGTTTTCCCTTGTTTCTAAATATATGGTGGGGGGGGGGGGGGGTTGCTTGCTAAAAAAAGTTGACTGGAACAGGGTGAAAATTCATGTTGAAGCAATTGAAATTAAAATTAAAATTTCCTGGGAGTTAAATCCAAGCAATATAAAGACCAATTCTCTACATTTCCTTGAATTGTATTTAGTGACAAGTATGACTATGTAAGATTACCCGGGGGAAATGTGTCCTTATGTATCATTTTTTAGTTGTTTTTTTACTATATAAAACACAATGTAAAACATACTTGATAGTTTAAAAACCATTTCACATGTATGGAATGAAAAAATATCATTATCAAGTATTTGACAATAAAATTCCATAACGACTTTCAAATTTTTACATATTCAACATCAAACATGGTTCTGTATACTTGATATCCGATCAAAATTCTATTTCAACTGACACAGTGAGAAGCTTTGTTGAATAGGAGCAGTGAAGACACATGAATTGATGTATACACAGTGTCACTGTACATAAACACCTTTAACACCTATTGATACACTTACTGACATCAACTGAAAAGCTTCAGACATCATGTTCCTGTATATCTCTTCAAAATGTAGGATTCTTTGAATTTCTAACTTTAAACCTGTCATTTTTTATAATTCTCAGCCCAACAGAGCTCTGTTTAGGACCAGGTATAGATAAGTGTATTTTATTCGTCATATGACAGGGAAACTGGACATCAGGGAAATCAGTGTTATATATAAATCTATTATTTGTTATAGATTTTTTTTAAAACAAGATATTTCATTTGGCATACGTAAACATTTAATACTATATGTAATCAACATTATTTTTGAGCTATTTTTTTTCTTTTCGCTGAAGATTTTCTGATCAATTGTATTTCATTATTGTTGGCCCTTCATACCAGCTAGTACAAGTTGGATAAAACATAAACAGAACTTAGGTATAAAAGTCTGACATGATTATGTTTTATTTACATGGACCAAGGGAGTCAATATCTTGTTCATCCTGTTGTAAATACAATCAACACCACCCAATTCATTATTGATTCTATCAGATTGATTACACCTCCTGTGGCTAATAGACACAGACAGTCTTATAGAGAAACAAGGCACATGTATAGAGGAAACACACATAAATAAGTAAATAACTTCTCATGTAAATAACAACAACTCTACAGGTAACAACTCTACAGGTAACAACAACTCTACAGGTAACAACAACTCTACAGGTAACAACTCTACAGGTAACAACTCTACAGGTAACAACTCTACAGATAACAACAACAACGCTACATGTAACAACTCTACAGGTAACAACTCTACAGGTAACAACAACTCTACAGGTAACAACTCTACAGGTAACAACAACTCTACAGGTAACAACTCTACAGGTAACAACAACAACTCTACAGGTAACAACAACTCTACAGGTAACAACTCTACAGGTAACAACAACTCTACATGTAACAACTCTACAGGTAACAACAACTCTACAGGTAACAACAACTCTACAGGTAACAACTCTACAGGTAACAACAACTCTACAGGTAACAACAACTCTACAGGTAACAACTCTACAGGTAACAACAAGGTAACAACAACTCTACAGGTAACAACAACAACTCTACAGGTAACAACAACTCTACCGGTAATAACAACAACTCTACAGGTAACAACAACTCTACATGTAACAACTCTACAGGTAACAACAACTCTACAGGTAACAACAACTCTACATGTAACAACTCTACAGGTAAAAACAACTATACAGCTAACAACAACTCTATAGGTAAAAACAACTCTACAGGTAACAACAACTCTATAGGTAAAAACAACTCTACAGGTAACAACAACTCTACAGGTAACAACAACTCTACAGGTAACAACAACTCTACAGGTAACAACTCTACAGGTAACAACAACTCTACAGGTAACAACTCTACAGGTAACAACAACTCTACAGGTAACAACAACTCTACAGGTAACAACAACAACTCTACAGGTAACAACAACTCTACCGGTAATAACAACTCTACATGTAACAACTCTACAGGTAACAACAACTCTACAGGTAACAACTCTACAGGTAAAAACAGCAACTCTACAGGTAACAACAATTCTACATGTAACAACAACTCTACAGGTAACAACTCTACAGGTAAAAACAGCAACTCTACAGGTAACAACAACTCTACAGGTAAAAACAACAACTCTATAGGTAAAAACAACTCTACAGGTAACAACTCTACAGGTAACAACAACTCTACAGGTAACACAACTCTACAGGTAACAACAACTCTACAGGTAACAACTCTACAGGTAACAACAACTCTACAGGTAACAACAACTCTACAGGTAACAACAACTCTACAGGTAACAACAACTCTACAGGTAACAGCAACTCTACAGGTAACAACAACTCTACAGGTAACACAATTCTACAGGTGTAACAACAACTCTACAGGTAACAACAACTCTACAGGTAACAACAACAACTCTACAGGTAACAACAACTCTACAGGTAAAAACAACAACTCTACAGGTAACAACAACTCTACAGGTAACAACAACAACTCTACAGGTAACAACAACTCTACAGGTAACAACTCTACAGGTAACAACAACAACTCTACAGGTAACAACAACTCTACAGGTA